TTGGAAAATGATCCATCTGTTCATTGGCAGCTGCTCGCCGATGGGTCAGCTGACAGAAACGGGGGACTCCTGGAGACTTTGTGCCAGTGGTTTGATTTGGGATTGTTCAGCAGACAGATGCAATCCTTTCCCTTCCAGTTCACCAGGTGTGTGTGCGTCTGTATCTCAAAAAATGTTGAATTGAAGGGACTAGACCATAATTGTGAAAACCTTTTCCTAGTTTCTTTGTGAGCTTCTTCAGTTTCTTCTCATATGACACACAAATTCTGCATAGCATGGAGGTTGGTGAATGGATGGGTTTTACAGCAAAGACTCTCCAAACAGATGGAGGGTACGTTATGCTACGGCTATTTAGCTAATAAGATAAACCATTATTTCTTATCACATTTATTTTGTGACTTAAATATAACAATATTACCTCCCGTTTAGAGTTCCCGCTGAGCACATGGATGCCCGACTGTGAGATAGACACCGAGCACTGTGACTGTCTCCCTCCACCTGCACCGACCCTGCAGCCAAGACCGATCCAACGCTGTCAACTCAACTCCTCCATCTGTGCCCACAGGCAACAACTCTTCCATCAAGCCTCCTGCAGGTAGGCCAGAGAGAAGCATGTAACCCTCAGCCCTATCCCCAAAGCATTTGCCTTTGTAAAAGATCTTTTCATGCAATATCAACATTGAAATGTAGCTCCATAGAAAATGATGCAACTATCGATCAGACCTCATGTGACTGAACGGGTTCATGCTATGTAGGCAAACAAAGGGCGAATGCATTGTGCGCACAGTGCTCTGTGGGGCATCGGTACACTTGTATTGATGAGACGACGATGGATAGTTGGTGGTTGTTGCCACTTGGTGTCTGTCTTAAAGCTGCACATCCAGACATCAGCTAAAAGCACGGGTGTAGTTTCCGCTAAAATGGCGCCTTGCTCATATTCAAGCCGACCACTGTGGCTATCCGCGGGATTGAAAGGTTCCCCGTGCTTCATATGCTCTAGTCAAGCTCATTTCATGCTACTAAATCATCCCTCTTTTATTCACAGATGCAAATCGGCCGATTAGAAGTCCACCGGGGGAATACATTACGACAACCTACTCGCCAAGGATGTTGGGAAGCAGAGAGAAAAGGCTTTTAATTTATTTACAGCCGTATTTATGGCAACTCTTTACTAATTTAGATGATATTAACTCAAGACCATGTTAATTGATTTTTTTTAACATGCTTACCTTACGTTTTAATCCACATGTAAAGTTAATGATTTGTACATTTGTTCTTTGTGTACTGAATATGTAGTTTACATTAAACAATTATTTCTATAAATTCTCTAAATTGTTGAATTTTTGAAGAATTACACAGACCTAATATCATGTAGGGGCGACACAGCATATAAATAAAATAAAATAAAGGCACCAAAAGGTAAAATGCTGGAAGAAGAATTTTGTTTCCCAGCAAAACAATGCGGCCAAAAATAAAAGTGGCAGGCCTTAAAAACAACAGTTACAGTGTCCTTGGGTTGCAGCTCAGTCAGAGGTCACAAGGAATTCAGAACATGTGAAGGACGCCTTTCACTTACAATCCCTGTGCGCCTGAAAGAGTTTCAACAGCAAAATGTTAAAAATACCTGCAAAAGAGCCTAATAGTAAACAAAGAAAAGTAATGTTTTACTGAGTGTGTCTCAGAGTAAAGGCTGCTGTGGTATTCAGGAGAATATTATTTGTGAAGTCTATATAGGTTACCTTTACCAAGGCAATACTTATGATGAATGATGAAGTTATTGGGGAAATTAAAAACAAGATTCTCTGGGGTCTGAAACCTGCTTCTGGGGGGAAAAAATGTGAAAATGTGTTTTTGGCTACTTCCATTGGTGGAGCAAATGGTGCGCAATGCAAATGTATAGTTTAATAAAACAGCATTGCCCCAATGTTTATTTTTTTACCATGTGATCAATCATTGTGCATCAGTGAGAACATATGGATTCTGTGGCAGCTAGTTGATGTGCAACTAAATGCTACGGGCCTATAGCTGGTCTTAGTTTGCGCCCATGAAATCTTGTAGGCCTATTTTGTGTTGTGTAACGCTTCAGTGTAAAACTGGAACATTTCATTACTATATGACATTCCAAAAAAGAAAAGCATCAAAAGAAAGGCGAAGTTTGACGAATGTAAAGGTGTTCACTTTCTTGCTGAGATATTTGTCGGTATAACGCTACACCCAGAATTTATTTAGTTTAGCTTAGCATAAAAAGCATAAATTGGGATAGTCTTTCTCTGTCAAAGATTACAAATTCCACCCATGCCAGCTGCTCTAAAGCTCACCCATATATACGTGTTTCATTTAGTCCGGAAAACTTGTGCAATAGATAAAACCAATTCTGAATTGGGCCACAATGGTTTGTCTGGTTTGTCTTTAACATTCATTCGTAAAGCCTCCACGGTGACGGCCTGATTGATGTCTGGAACTTGTGACTTACAATTACAAGACCTCAAATTGCATGAAAATCTCCTGTAATAACAACCAAATGGAGCAGGATGGCTGATGCGAAAATTCTATATGCTTTTTGGGGATAAAGTTCTTCACATTAATGGATCAATTATGTAAATAGGCCGTAGAAGCAAACACCCCACATCTCCATCAACCAGCACCGATGAGCCCATTAGTCGCAATAATTACTCATTGAACACAGACTAGAAAAAAACACATGTTTCGCTCCGTATTTTTCAAAGCCTTCAGACTTAATGCAACCATCTAATCTCGGAAATTATAGTCTTTCTTAACATTTCCTTAAACCACATAATAGTTTCATCACACATACAACATGAACAAAATGAACACATGAATACATACAATCCAAATCACTTATAGCTTTTATTCTCATTATTTCTTGCTCCAAAGTTACATTACATGGGAGTGTGGTTGAATCTTCAAAATGTGATGAACTGCTTAAGCGACTGAAGGGCAGAAGAGTGGAGGGAATATACAATCCAGCCAAAAGGCTTCCACACACTCCTTCAGGGGAGGTGAGGTCCAGGTGTGCCAGGAGACACACCTGGACCTCACCTCCTCATCAAGGAGTGGGGACAAAAGGACAAGCAGGGAAGACATCATGGGAGAGACATGTTGGGAGAGGAGCAGTGTGGGTGCGCCCTTAGACCTCCAGGATGGAGAAGTAAATCCCGGGAAGTCGGATAACGGTTAGTCTGGTGAATGCGCCCTGGAAATGAGCTTGATTATCTGTATTTGTTTCACTGTTTTATTAAAAGCTGTTACCAACAGACTCTGCCTGTGACCCCTGCACTGCATTTACGTCAGCGTCGTCCTGCTGCACTAGAAGTAAAGGTTGTTAGATCAATACATGTATGCACCAATGTGTTCGTTAACTGCAGACAAAATTCAAAGGCAATTGTAAAGATGTGACTGGTCACTTTATTGCCCGTGTTTAAACGAGACAAACCGAGTTATTGTAAAGATGCACTCGTGTCACCAATTAAAATAAAATGAATTATGCATACATTTTCCATGAGGCGACATTGACATCAACAGTGGAAAAAACACGTTGACATTTCAGTCCTAACGGCTCAGGCACTTTGCCTTTGGTCGCTTCTTGTGAGAATACGTCGGGTGAGCTTGGATCAATACGCCGCCAAGTGAAACGACACTGACCTTTAGACCAACCGGGGAGTGAGGTTTTTATTTTCAGGGACGCTCCCCTAGATCTACATCGAAGGATGCGACGCTTCTCATGGATATCCAACTTAACACCTTTTGCGAATCCCCCCTTGCTGTGTTCACAGGGAGAGAAAATATATAGCAAAGTATAAAATAAACTCAAATGTGTGGCTGAGGCAAAATATTGGTTCACTCAGGAAAGTATCCACACAAAACATGTGCACGTGTGCACAAGATTGAAACAAACAGTAACTGGGATAAATGCTTTTTTTTATCATAGTTATTTTTCATTATTGGGATACTCTTGAGATAGGTTACATGAATAAACATCAAGAAATTAATTTAAGGTTATAAATTAAATATTGTGTTGGGATTTGGACAGGGGCGTTTCTAGGATTAAAAAAAGGTAGGGGTGAACCCCAAGGGGAGTGTTTGCATATATGTGCATGCAAAAAAAGAACGCACAATTATATGTAGCATGTTACAGTTATGAAGAACTGTCCATGTGAGAAACAATATTTAACATAATGACATCACCAAACAAAAAAAATATATGTATATATAAAATCCATCTATCTGCAAACTGCTTATCTGCACACAGGGTCATGGAGGGGCTGGAGTCTATTTTAGTTTCTTTTGTTATTGCTTATACCAGATGTTATGAAATTGCTTTCTTTCACTTGGATGTTTGATCTTCACTGTGAGGTATGATGTATGTGTACCGTGTACAGGTAGTGTAATGACTCGAGACTTTTTACAAACAACATTACAAACATCCATGATTATATTCACAGATGAAGGAGATTCTAAAGATCAAGTGAACTCTGCAGGAATCTTGTCTGACTTCTTGAGTGGGATCTCAAACCACATGTACCTGTGGGCTTTTATTGATCTTATTTTATTTCATTCCTTCATTTAGAAGTATGACAACTAATCCTTGTTTACGTTCCAGACCTACCGCAGAATGAGCCTGACTAGAAAGATGACATGTTGAGTAGATGGTTGAGACCATGCAGGACAGAAATTTGGCGCAGCACCACAATTAAACAAACGCTACTCCGACTGAATTGTACACCCTCATCACCACCTGAGCATGATCCTCTCCCTCTGTGAACAACCAAATTAGGACATTGCGGTGTGACAAGGCGACTGTAAATCTAGCATGCTGCAAGGCAGAATAATCATGTCCAGTGAACACCGTGCTGCAGGAAGAATGTGTTGTATACACAATCAACAGGACGAACGCTCAGCATAACCAAAGTGCAAAGACACACACAGCTATCCACCTTTATGCAATATGCAATATACAACGATAAAGAGATATAATGCACTCATTTGAACACAATGTTTATTGATTCCATGTGAAAGAGGTGCAACATTTTTTGAAGTAAACAAGGTCTGTCAATTTAATTTCCTTGAGGACTGCATGCAAATTGTGCGAACACTCGACTACAAAGAATATAAAACCATATTGCGTAATCCAATACCAAGTGACAAATGAGATTTCTAACACATGCGTTTACATTTTTCGCTCTCTTTACACCCGAGTCACTGCTAAAATCCACATTCAGTAAGCAGAGGACGGCTAACATTTAAGATACATTTCTAAAGGTACACTGAGAATGTCACAAGTATCCTCACAGCATTTATTTCAAAGATATCACATACATACTGCAGCACAATGCAGCCAGAATATAACACATCAAGCTTCACAATTATACATGCCAATGTAGACCAATATCACATTTAAGAGCACACCGACTTTTAAATCATGCAGCAGCAACATTTTGTATTCTTTACATAAATATAGCAGCTACGTCGGTTACAGTCCCTAACGTTGTACCGACCAACAGCTTTGAACCGGAAACATAGCAGTTCGCTTTCATTATAAATTGGTAAGTTTGCAAGTAATCGTTACTTTGCACTAACAGTTTGCAAACAGTTTGCACTGACAGCTGCAAGTTGATGACAGGAAAGTAAAATATATTCTCTGACTTCTGGGTAGAAAGTCCTTTAAAGGGACGCTGCACAAATATTACTCAAGTTAAACTCCGCTTGTGAAAAATAGTCATTTATGTCTTCTGTGGTTCTGGAGGAACTTTACTGAGTCAAAGAAAATGCCCCAGCTAATATCTTTTATTTCAGCTTCGGCGTTCATAACTTGTGTGGTGATCGCATCTAAAGATATCGTATTTCCCAGGTGCACGGGGTGTAGCCCAGAGATTCTGCCATGTTGCGTTACGGGAAAGGTCAACCCTGTCTCCTAGCTACTCGCATGGCTTTTGACTCTTTTGTCATAGCAACGTCTGGATGCTCAGCAGTGAGTTGATGAGAAAGTTTTTAGTCCTTGTTCAAGAAAACCTCAGTGGTCTAAATCATAAATGACTGGTAATTAACCTTTATCCTTTTATCCTTATGACAGCCGTGTGGTACAAAAACGTTAAACCTTCTCCACTTTAAGCACAGTGCCTGTCAACATAATAACTTAAGGCAGGTAAACTAATTTTTCATACACGTTTTAATACAATTTCTGGACACATGCTTCAACCACCATTCTTTTAACAAAGACAATGGCTCCTTCAAGGCCCTGAACTTTACAGAAGTGCAATATTTAAACACCGGAGTACCCCAACTACTCAACCATATATCTTCATGCATGGTTCTTAAACTGACATTAACAACAGTAATGCAGTCACTGACTCAAAAGCAAAGAGGCAGAAACACAGAAACACAATTTACACGCAATCCTCCTGATAGACCCGCCTGCCATTGATCATGCTGAGGCTCCCCATGGAGTGATGGGTGCTGCGTACCGACGTCCCGTGTGTGTTACAGTGAGTGTGGCTCTGCGAGGAGCGTCTCAGCATCATGTGGCAGCAGCAGCACAGCTGCCGGTTGAACTGCTTCTGGAAGGTGTCACTCAGGAGATAAAGGGCAAACGGGTTGAGGCAGGAGTTGGTGAAGGCCAGGATACGAGCGACGATGCTGCACACAAAGTGAACCAGGGAAGTGTCCACCTGGTCGGGGGAGTAAATGGCTTGAATGATGGAAGTGTGTACGTACGTAGGATTTAAGTGATGATATTTGTCTGAATAAGTTGGTATGGCCTGTTCTTCTCTCAGTATCATTGAGACTTCTAGTTTTAGGAGCTTAGATATTATACGTTCAAATTAGTGCGTGGTTAATACATTATATTTAGTTATTTTTTTAGGCAGTTAAACTATTGTGGAACTTAAATGGATTTTCCTAAAACTCCCGATGGATATAAATAATAATAAATACACAAATACAATCTTTTTTTAAATAAACAAATAAAAATAACATATTGTTTTTGTTCAACCGACCTGGGAGTAGTGATAGGAGCGGTACAAGTAGATGACGTGACAGGGCAGCCAGCACACTGCAAAGAGACCAACAAACACCAGCACTGTCTTGGCTAAGCGCTTCCTTGATTCAACCTGTTGAGCGCAGAAAAAACAAACATCAAAACTAAAGAGTAATGCTGGCATTGTGTAATAGACATTATCGTTTGAATTTGTTACATGCATTTCCACTACTGGGGGAGCAAGTATTTGGATATTTTACTTAAAGTAAAATGTAAAGTTGAAAAACATAAAATGTCCTGCATTCAAAATTCAACTTAAGTGTCACAGGCATAAATGTACATACTGTATGTATCAAAGTACTCAGTGTGAAGAACTTAGTTCATACAAAAAGAATACAATGTTCTTCATCAATTCTTATTATCATTTCTGATGCATTACACTGCATTTTTAGCCTTGGGTTGCTTAATCTGTACCATATTTAGTAAATGTATAGCCTGTTCTAAAAAAATCGACTAAAGTATAAGTACCTCACAATGTGCAGACCTTCTGTTTATGTACACATTTTCTTGCCATCACATTTATGCATTACATTTTTCATTGTTACTATAAATATTTCTATTTTTCTTTTGAATGAAGAGCATGACTCATTTGTTTCACTTCAGATTGTATAATGCTCTCCTTCACTGCCCTTCAACTCAAATAGACCCTGCTTGCGCTTGGATTTCTGTTGGCTGCACTCCGATTTATTAGAGATTACAGAGGAACTCAACTCTGCACTCCGATGTATTGGAGAGCACCGGTTTCTAGCTGTTGTTTCGGAGCTGGCTATTTCAGTAGTCTTTTTTTATGTTTGATTAGGTGTGCAAATCTCTCAAATCTAAAATGCGTCGCAATGCAATCAATTCGATCAAGGTCATCTAGCAGCCAGGCTAATTAACGTGTCCTTCAGCTGCTGCATGAACCTTATTGATATAGGTAACACCGAACTAATACACTGCAGGAAGAATTTATGCTTTTTCAATATTATTCATAAGGTTTGTCAGTAGTTACCTTGTAAATAAAAGTGTAAAATTAGTTTTAATGGATGAAAGAGTAGCCATGTGCATGTGATGCTAGACTGATGACATACACTTCTAATAATACACAGTGTTACTTTATCATCCCTTCTGATGACAAGGGTTCTAGCTTCCATTAAGATCACTGAGATTATGCCATAGGTAATTTAACCTTTGCTAATTGCATGAAAGCATGCCAACCAATCAGACAGATAGATAGATTTCAGTAAATCAGTAATTGTACTTTTTTTTTTTTACTGATGACCTGTGTATATTAAAGGTTGGGCTACGCCACTGGGGACGGTTGTTTGAACACTGGCCTGTCGTCTGGCGTGTAAGTTCCCCTCCACCGGCAGGTTTGAGGCGCTCTTCATCAGGCTGCGGGCGATGAAGGTGTAGTACACGGATATGATCAGCAGGGGAATGACGTAGAAAATGAGGAAGGAGGCCATGGAGTGGATCTTGGGGTGCAGTTCCCCCGCATGCGGATAGGGGGCGCAGGTGACGAAGCTCTCATTGGTGGAGGTGACGAAGGTGTGGAGGTCAGAGAAGACGGCCTCGGGGATAGCCAGGACCAGGGAGAGGAGCCAGATGAGAGCCGCCCGTAGGACGATGATGGTGGTGCTGCTCGATGCCTTGATGTCCAGGGGCTTCACGATGGCCCTGTACCTGTCACACACGTGCTGTAAGTTAACACAACGTGATACAACGCAGAGCAGTGACACAAAAAGGTTCAGGCTGCGGAAGGCGAATCAGAATAACAATATATTGCTAAATTCTTTTAGCAATTGGTCAAAAGAAAGGTTGTTCTGGATGACGTCTAGAAATAAAAAGCATTAACCTTTTTCAAGTTAAGGAGGCCATATGAAAAAGGAGGAACAATGAATAAAAGCCTTATAACATATTTTCAGTAGATCTTGTTTCACTGAGTAAAAACACAATTTTGAGGACGGTACTTGATTTAAGGGTAATGTGTGAGACCTGTGCTCAAATGAAACCCTTACCTCGAAAAACATGGCACTGATTGCATATGATCGGAGCAGCTCGGATTTCGACACATCTCCAAGAACTGAATTGCACAACACGGCGATGACAACTTTTAAAATGTTCTGGCAGAAGATTGGAGCCCACGTGTTTTGATTACGCAGAGTGAGCAAACAGATGATCAGGCAACTGTAATAGTGCGAGATTTGTAAAGTCCTACACGTATTGGGGTCTGTGATAATCATAACCTAATGTGCTTTGGGAGATGCAAAGGAAAAGTGGTTTGTAGTAAGATGTAAATTACAACTTCAAACACATTTAAAAAGTACTTTATTTGTTCAAATTTGGGTAAATCAGTTAAAAGCACATCACGGGATGCTAATGCTGAAACTTTAAAAAGTGATGATTCTCAGGCAAGTTCTGAGGTTATAGAGACCAAACCAAGACAATATCCACATATCCACAATATTACAGAATTCAACAAATTTTGTTTTGTGTGGTTGAGGGAATCAGGAGGAAGCAGCTTAAGCTGAGGGAGAACGAAGCGGGGACCTTTAGTTACATGGACATATTTTGTAATATCTTAAAGTTACGGTTAAATTATTCGTATATATATTGGTTTTGTTAACTGTATTGGTTGATTTGACCCTTTTCCTTCCTTATATTGATTTTAGCTAAAAGTACAGGGCGTTGGAATTTAATTTAAAATGACCAGAAAATGTTCTTCCTTCAGTGCGAAATACATCCTGCTCCGAATGTGAAACAGATGTCGATACATTCAACTTTATTCAAATACGTTTTTCAGGAAGCACAGCAAGTTACTACAGGCAACGGGAGCCGGTAGGCAGGAAGTCCCCCTGTAGCCCAGGACCCTCATTTCCGGGGCCACTCGGTTCAGCCCATGTGGAGGAACAAGACCAGGTTGACTGCGACCTAGATGATACACAGCCTGTGACATGTTAGTGAGGACAGCCTCGTTGGGTATATTCCTGTCCATGTATTAACAGGATTTATTGATTACCAATAATACACTGAGAAGCTTGGCCAAGCGAGTGTAACCGTGAAGAGCTTTATATTTCTGCTGGGCCTCCTTTTATTATTTCATAACGTGAAGCGTGAAGGTTTATGTCTTCGACCAGCAGGGCAGCTGATATTGGCTACGATTCCAATTTATTTTGAGACTCCAGCAATATTTAATTTGAACTAAACGGCACAGTTATTTTATTGTAACAGCAGGAAGGCCTGTCTGTATGTGAGGCGTTGCGGCCTCCAGCAACTTTGATCAAAAGAAGAAGAAAAAAGTGACCTATAAGACCGGGAAGAACAAGGAACAGGAATATTGATATTAAAGCAAGTGCGTTCTGGAAGCGTTCAAGTTTTTAAAACACATTTATATCTACTAAAAAATGGAAAAGTTGTATTTGTGTAATTTAACAACAAACTTTTGAAATTAGAAATCGACACCACGAATCTCTTGCCTCATGCGCGCACGTGTCAGTAAAGCCTTTAACACAAGCGATCCTCCCCTGATCAATACGCAGTTAAATATTTGTTTTCCCTCGCGATATTAAAACATCCGGCTTGTCGTATTAAACGTGACTATCTTCACGGCGTGAGACGCAACGGGGCGTCTGCGACCATTCAGAACGCCACACATGCCGTTTTAAAGTGAATATGCGTAAAGAAGGAAACCCGCAGCCGTACCTGTCAGCGGAGAGGGCGGTGAGGGTGAACACGGACACGCCAACCGAGGTGAGCTGAATGAAGGGGATGACTTTGCAGCCCACCCTGCCGAACAGCCACTCCTCTGACAGGTAGCGGCTGGCATCCACCGGCGCGCAGGTCACCAGCAGCAGCACGTCCCCGAGGGCGAGGCTGGACATGAACAGGTTGGGCACGTTGCGGATGGATTTGGTGGAGCAGAACGTCTTGATGAGCGTGACGTTGCCGATCAGTCCCAGAACGCCGATGACGCCGTAGACCGAAGCGACGACCACGCCGGTGAACCACATCGTCCGCGCCGTGGAGAGCTGTGACGCTGCGCGACGCCGGCGGGTTTCCGAGAGAAGGCGCCAGTGCTGGGATCACCATTCTGTGTCCTGCTTCAGAGTGTTGTGTCCCTGCTGTGCTCAGCCGCACAACATGCAAGAACGATCCATATGCTTATTGAATTTAAGAAAAAGTGCCGTTTTGTCAATAGCTGGATGTGGTGCAATGGTAAATCTTGGCATGGCTATGAGGCATCTAAAACATTTTAGGAATTTGGGTGGTGCATTGGACAAATAAGACAAATAACTACAGAGACGGTCATCAATGATAAAAGCCTTACAATCTATAGCAGCATATAATTACCCTGAAATGTAAAGACAGAGATGGTTGATGAGCATCTTCTGAAACAAAATAGCAGACAATGCCTTTTCTTGTGTTTTTCATTATTAGTCTGCTATGAGTCTCTCTTTGACCTTCCAGGATTCGCACGTCCTCAAAATACAGGGGAAAGTTTGAGCGAACGAGGGAATTGTTGATTGAATTGTCATTATTATTCTTACAACAAGTTTTTAGGAAATTACTGAATCATCCAGAGTTAGTTGTTTACCTTGCCATCATTTTGTATAGCTTCTTCATATTCTCTTTGTGTGCCTTTTTCACCAAAATGTCTTTGTTATTGTAATCCACCATTACCAATAATCCCCAGAACGGATGAATATGTTCTCAACTGAAAATAACTAGACTAAACACTGGTTCAGCATCTCCCTCAATGTGTGTCGTAAGACTGCAGGACAAATCCAAAATCAATCGAGCAGATGGACTGCTGAGTTCTGAGCTGCTAATACTTTTTTTTTTACCATTTACCTTTGTTATTCATGTAAGCATTATAACATTTGTTAGTCACCATCTAACATCAAGTTTAGCTGAGGCGGAGGAAAGTTGCTTTGGTTTGTTCAATTTTGACCAGAAGATGGCAACAGATGACAAGTAAAAAACATCCCCAAGGTTTTTAAAGTTCATCCCGAAGGGGAACTTGAAAATGTCAATGGATTAAAGAAAACTTCGACCTGTCGACACTAGAAGAAAAGCTAAGATTGGTGGACCGACCAACCGATATTGACATTACCAAAGGTTTGGGCCGATTGCAGGATCCATTTAGTCCTAAAATCATTATATGAACCAGAGCGCAAGCACGCGTGAGCACTGTGGGACGTGGCGTTTTCACAGACTGACTGGTTGAGTAAAGCCGATCTGCTGTTGTCTTCACATCCTGCAATTACGCAGCGGGTTACTGTTGACACTTTGTGTGAAACCTCGGGATAATGGGACTTCACAGGTACCAGGGATGGTTGTGTATTGACAGGCCATCAGCAGGCACTCAAGCAGAGAAGCGATCTGTGAATGAACCCTAACAGGTGATACTGAAACACAAGCCCTCTTCAGCACAGACAGCACAGATTTGAAAAGAGGAACAAGGACGGGCAGGAATCCAGCAGGGTGCAATGAGGAACAGAGAGAGAGAATTTCTCTAATCCCTGTTAATCTCTGGGGTACAAAAAAAAGGCGGCGTGGCGTCTGGATCCATGCGGAGGAGAAATTAGACAGCCAGGAGCACAAGAAAAGGGTTCTAGTGTTTTGCAGAGGAGAAGGAGAAGGAGGGGAGGAGAGAACAAGGAACCTGGAGTTATCTCCTCTCCTTGTGTTTATGTGTAAGGATGTGCATACACCTGTGCATGTGGGTGGAAAAAACATCAATCATCTTTTGATTATTCTCCTTCTGCCTCCGTGAAGATACAATAGATTATTGACACGAGGAAAAGGTCATTGTTGAAGCACAAAATGTCCCGTACATATTGAGTGTTAGACAGCTGAATTATTTGCCCCGGCCTGTAATGTGGTATGTCTCCAAATGCCACATCAAACCTCTTGCTGCGCAAAATGCTGCAGAATGTGAAGAGAAAAATGACAAAAGAAATTAATTTCAAAGATGGACATGTTAATATCTTGCTGATTTGTGGCCTTAAATGAACTCTTCCAACATCAACACAGAATCATCAAAGTATCGACAACACCAACTCTGTCAAACGTTCCTTATCTTCTCCTAATGGTTTTATTTGATTTTGATCGAGACCTCTTTTACCTTTGGATTATAATTACAATGATGACATCAACAAATTCATCTTTTCAGATCAGAAGAGGCTATTTTTTATAATCTGTCTCATAATTTGGGTTATTCACTGCTGTTACCAGTGCTAATGATATTTTTATTATTTACATCCATGTCTACTGTGCCTTCTTCAAAGGATTTTCACAGAATTACGTTCAGTAACTGTTGCTGTTTTAGCATTAGTTTTCATATGATAAATGCTCACTTATGAGATGACTAAACTTAGATGATGTTAGAAGCATTTCCATGGAAACAGAAAAACAACAAACAACACACGTGTCTTCTGTCTCTGCGTGTGATTTTTGAGGGATGCAAGTGTATGACGTCGTCCATGGTGGATGTAATTTGTTTTTTTTTGTATGAATAGGAAAACAAGAAATAATATAGATATGTGTGGGTTACTCTTGGACACAAACAGGCTATTTGTTTCCAGTCTTTGTGTCTAACCTAAACTGACAAGCTGCTGCCTGTCGCGTTATGTTACAGACAGATTCAAGTTATTCATCTTCTCATCTTACTTCTTGCCAGGAAAGAAATCAGCATATATCCAAAAATGTTAAAAGATCCTACATACAAATACATAGAAATACATTTTTACTTCCCTATTCTACCCATAAATTTGCATGTTTTTTTCTTCTTCATTTTAGTTTCAATTCTAGAGTGCGAGGTTCAATTCAAGGTTGGGGGCCTCGAAGCTTATCATTATGTTGGATCCTTTCCAGCCACATCCACTGAACGGTGCTAGAGGCTCCATCACCCCAGAGCAGAACAGAACACATAACATTAAATCATTCATTCTAGATTAAAAAAAAAAAGTAACGTGCTTGAATTACTGAAACACTGTGTTTCTTCCTGTTTCGTTCTTTGTGTGTGTGTGTGTGTGTGTGTGTGTGTGTGTGTGTGTGTGTGTGTGTGTGGGCCTTATAGATCCCGTCAAACCAGTCTGACGTGACTGCTTCTCTTGTTTCAACAGCACACACGTGTGCAGTCTGAACTCGCTGCTTGTCTTCAGTGTCAATGTTACGATTTAGCGTAGCGTTGAATTATAGACCCCCAAACCTCTTTTGCATGAAAAAACACGAAGTTTAACTTTTTAATGTTTCTTGGTTTTGGTCTTGCACTTGTTGCAAAACATGATGTATAATGAGGAATTCAACTAAAACATTTAAACCCCCGCAACATGGAACCTATAAGTGAGGTGAATGATAGAGTCCAACATTAAAACTTCAGATTGCGGCATATTTTGGTCATATTTGAAAACATTGCTCTTGTTAATAAAGGGACCACGACAGACATTCCACGGGGACGGAGTAACGATCCAAATCCAGGTACAGTCTGTAGTGAAGACACGCAGAAACACGTCGGGTGGGCGGATGAAAAATGTGTTCGTACCCGCAGTGAGCGGCGGTGATTGGCGGGCAGCGCTGTCACTCAACCAGACGCAACGGGCGCACCCATTGGGCGCAAACCTGTCTGGTTTCGATAGAAATTGCTTCCAGGTGCCTCGAGTTCCCTTTTACATTTTAGAGAACGCTACTTACCACACTAAGAAGAATACGCTTGTCTGGTTGGGAAAATGGAAGCGTTGGCGATGGAGAGGAGGATTTCTCCCTGGATCCTGCTGTCTCTTGGTGAGTTTACCTGCTGGAATTCATTTGCACCGCGTCTGGTAGAGCGGCCACACCTGTTGACGCACCGACAGGTAGATATACTGTGTCGGCCCGAGCCACCTCCAATGCGCGCGGCCTCTTCTGGAGAGCTTTCCCTATTTTAGAACGTTTGGTTTTACAAAAATGTCGGAGCTCTTGAAATCCGGCGGCAAAAGCATATTAAAATGATCAAGGGTGATAATCAAATACTTCAACGGGATGTTGAGTTTGACACAAACTCCAAAGATATATACTTTACTGGCGTCCGAGGTAAAGAAATAATATAGAAATAATAAGAAATATAATTATTTATTTTCTGCCCATACTAATCGTAGCTCGAAACAAAACCGATTTAGGCTACTTGTGAGTGACAGGGCGGTGTAAGATCCTGGTTACTCCTTTAGACCGAATAATTCACTGTAGATGCATGTTACATGGGCCTGCAATTCAATATGATAACAATCTTGTCTTTCAATCATATTGTGATGAAATACAGACATCGGGATAGCTAATTCCCAATATTAATCTGAATTCAAATTCTGTTTTTGCAATCCTCCGTGTTGTTAAATCAAATGTCAATGTCGAATGTCGTCTGCATGTAAATTCAATGAAGGTACAATGGAGGTATTGAAATATTAGTTTATATTTCAATTTCACCTGAAATAACAATTTATTAAGGGCAAATACTTTAATCTGTCACATTGAATTTGCACAGGAGCATACAAAAATAATGTTTACCGTGTGAGTAATTCCCTTATTTTAGTGCCACATTGGAAGCGCAATATCGTTATCTACGGTTTGATATTCTGCTTTCTGTGACAGTGCTGTCCGGTGTTGATGCCATCAATGTGAACATCCCGACAAAGTTATACGAGGTTGCCAGAGGTGATAACATCACACTGCCGTGCAAATTTATTCCCAAAACCCCTGGGACTCCTCAGTTCGTCGTCATCACATGGTATGGTGAAGGTGTGAACACGGACCCTGATGAGGTTAGTCTGTGTGTGCGTGTATGTGTGTGTGTGTGTAAAATCTATCAATGAAGATGACAACTGTATTTTCTTACTTTTTAATGTTCCTCCGATGCTCCTGTCGTCTAACAGACCCTCATCGTCACTTATTTTTCTGCTGGTGATACTATCGACGTTAAACCGCTGTATGAAGGCCGGGTGTCCCTGGATGTCGATATTAAAACAGGAAAGGCCGACCTGAAACTTTCCTCCGCCACGCTAGATGACAACAAGGACTTTAAGTGTCAGGTCCAGATTCCAAAAGACGATCAGGGCAAGCCAGCCAGCACTACGCGCCTGGTCGTTCTAGGTAGATTTTCAAAGAAATCTTTTTCAAAAGTAGGTGAAGAGAGATGCGTATCTATATCGTTTCTAGTTTCAGCATGTATGAGCGTAGAGCATAATTGCTATTTCAGAAGTTAAAGCTTAGTTAGTCAAAAATGGGAGTGGTTCTTATCAGGGGTGCAAAAAGCTGGGCGTAGAAAGTGGGCTCAATTAGCTGTTGTGGGTGGTGTATCCCATCATTAGATTGTCTCTTTTCTTCATTAACCGGTGGCATCAACATGTGAGAACTCCCATTCTCAATTATATAACCTATTTAGCTCCTCACTAAAACCATCTTTTATGTCTCGTATATTTCACATTTCCTTTTCATAATTTCAACATTCTTTATTGAAATTTGAATGGACCCCTCTCACCGTTTTCGTTATTAGTGGCTCCATCTACACCCGTGTGTGCGATCAAGGGAAATGCAGAATACGGAGAGAACGTCAACCTGACATGTTTGTCTGCGGAAGGCTCCCCGGCACCCGTTTACACGTGGAAAAGTCTAGATGTCCTGAACAATCCTCGCAAACCTGACCCAAGAACCACCGATCGTAAGTGTCAATTTCTGTGAGGGGCTACCGATCCTGCAAAATGTGAGTCAACTCGTGGCCCTTAAAGGTTTCCCCTACCATTATGACAGGGGGGTTGTAAACCTTTTTTTTTTAATGAGTTAAAACAAACATTACGTCACTGTTCCCTAATTCGTACAGTTCGTATCTTCACTTCCAATAAAAATTACAATGTAGTTTTTTTTAGGTCTTTAATGGTGTTTAAACAAACGTTTAACTTTACCATTTATGCTGTCAACACGTCCAGGACCCCAATTCTGGCCTTCAAAATAAGAAATCACGTATTGTGCAGAACAAGAAGCTTTTCAAACTACTGACAATGTCCTTAGTGCCTACTCACATCAAAGTAATTAGACATGGAATGTTCATATTAAATCTGAAATGTAGATTCTTTTTAAATCTATGAATTAACATTATTTGAGTTTCGGTGGCAATCGCGGAAGAAAAAGACATCAAAAAGACTGGAAAGAACGTAATAGGCAAATGAAAGCTAGCGGGTCCAAATTAGGAAACATTGACGCTATGTATTGTTATGAAAATGCGGCCCCCTCTTGTGGAATAAACATAAATCAGTGACAGTTTTGAGGAGTTGTAACTTGATTGAGTGTGTAAGTGACCTTTTTCTTTGCCATCTAGAGGGAGGCATCATGTCTCTATACAACATCTCCAAAGAGACATCTGGATACTACATCTGCACCTCGACAAACAAGATCCGCTCCGCTACCTGCAACATCACCCTTGCAGTCATGCCACGTGAGATGAAGCAACTGTCTTGGAATGTTGAATTCCACATAAATGCATCTTTACAACAATGCGTTACAAAGTGCGTGACCCTTATCTTCCGCTTATTCAATCCCGCAGCTTCCATGAAGATTGGCTCCACTGCAGGAATCGTCGCCGGTGTCGCCGCCCTGTTGATCGTAGTCATCATCGGCATCTGTTGCTGCTACTGCCGCAAGAAGAAGTTGAAGAAGGAGGAGGAGGAATACGCCATGGGGTAAAGTTTGCCCCCATTAAAGACACACTGACCAATAAAAAAGATGTTAACTGGGGCGGGAGACATTTGACACGGCCCATTGACGAGGCTGAATTAGTAGCCGACTAAACATATCATGGTTTTTAGGCAGAGAAGGCCGGTTGTCCTCCAGGAACTTTTAAGGCAACTATTGTGTAAGCGATGTATCGGATGAAGCTATCAAAGAATCAAAACCCAACACCCGCCTGTTGTGTGTTCACTATCCAGAGTTCGCGAGGAAGAGCACGGCGACCAAAAGCCGGCTAAAAATGGTGTGACTCAGATTGACGATGGACAAGAGGACGACCGGGTTCATGACGACTCCAGTCTGAGACGCCCTTTTGTAAGCACTGAGCGCCACGAGGAACGGAGTGAGCGCGACTACGACGACCGGCGCAGCGAGTACGACGACCGGCGCAGCGAGTACGACGACCGGCGCAGCGAGTACGACGATCGCAGAAGCGACTACACCGATCGCAGAAGCGACTACGACGACCGCCGCGACAGGCCCGGTAACCGCAATGAGCGCTACGACGACCGCCGCTACGATGACGATGACCGCCGCCGCCGCTACGACGACGACCGTAAAGACCGTCGCGTCAAACATGACGACGACCGCCATGATGAACGCTACGACGATCGTGATCTGGTCAAACCACCCGTGCCAGCCAATAAGCCTCCGAAGAAGGACTTCCGCGACTAAAGCCCTCGACCATCTCCTCTTTAAAGTCCATTCACTCCAATGACCGTTACCTCACACTCAAGCTGTCTTGCTTCTCTGATTCTGTTGCGACATAATTTGTTATAAAACTAACTATACCAGAATGAAGAGTGAGCCTAAACTGTTTTTCTCTAACAATTTGGTGAGTCAAGAGGTTTGTGGGAGAATTAGTTGAGGAATGGTGACCACAAAGCCCATCTGATCTCCGTTAACTCGGTTAAGCGATCCGGTCTACACCGTGACCAGAGACAGATCTGTATCTTTGTGGTCATGCGTCATACAAATAACAGAAACTAGGCAAACATTTCACACACCGCCAGAAAAAAAAAGTAGATTTGGCGATTCAGAGATTAGGTGGCGTTTTATCTTTAAACTCAATTTGTTGGTTTTGTTCGTCTGACTTGTGTTGCTAGTGGTGTTTTTAAGAATTCTTATTTTAAATGCATATGTTTTGGGGAACAATAAAGAAAAGGTATACCATTATATGTAAGTCTTTGTGGGATTGTTTGAGTTCTATGCCCTCCTGTTACAGAAATATTGTGACCGTTTTTATTGTCGTGTTTTTTTTAATCATTTCATTTCTTTTGTTCCATCATGTAGAAACTACAGCTTCCGCTGATTATGTAGCTTGATAGTCACCACTTCCTTCTTTCTTTTGTTCTTTAAATTTGTAAAAGTACATAACAATTAAGACCTTGAACATACAAATATATAACCACCTTTTGCCATGTCACTGTCAAATCTTTTTTTATTTGAATTATTTTATAGTTTTTTGTTGAACTGGAATTAAAATATACAAATGCAATTATGTTAATGTCAATAGTTTTACATTCTATTGGGATTTGTGTTATAAAACGTTGTATTCCATTGCTGAACTATGACTTTGTTATTTTTAAAGCAAACGGATTCTCATAACTGTATGAATCCTGAACACTAGATGGCAACTTTACACCTATCACATACATATACAAATTGTCTCATGGTCACTACATTCATACCACACATGGGGTAAGAACAAAAAAAGCTACGGGATTCTACGTTTTTATCTTGACATATTATTCTACTAAATATTTAGTTTTGAACAGATTTACTTACATCACTGCCACATTCAATTATATGGAGAGCAGGGGCTACATACTGTATGTATATATATATATATGTGTGTATGTATATATATATATATGTGTGTAAATATATATATATATACATATATACATATATATACATATATACATATATATATATATATACATATATACATACTATGATATATATATATATATATATATGTATATATATATATATATATATGTATGTATATATATATATATATATATATATATATATATGTATGTATATATATATATATATATGTATGTATATATATATATATATATATATATATATATATATATGTATGTATATATATGTATATATATATATATGTATATATATATATATGTATATATGTATATATATATATGTATATATGTATATATGTATATATATATATGTATATATGTATATATGTATATATATGTATATATGTATATATATATATATATATGTATATATATATATGTATATATGTATATATGTATATATGTATATATGTATATATATATATGTATATATATATATATATGTATATATATATATGTATATATATGTATGTATATATATATATATGTGTGTGTATATATATGTGAACATATATATATATACATGTGTGTATATATATAGTAGTTGTCAACTACTGTGTCGCATACACACCACCTCAGGGAACCTTTTGGTTACATTAGAAAATGTTAGGCCAGAACTAAGTGTATCAAAAACCTATATTGTCATAAATCGTGTATATATTTATGATGGAACCCTGAATTTGATCACACTTAGTTTGGTTGCACGTCAGAATAGTAGAATCGACTCGAGGAGGAGGAGGAGCCCGGGTAACCCGCCTAAAAGTACTAGACCAGAGCGTAGAATACCATCAGATCGGTAGGACTACTTCAAAACACTACAGTGCTATACTTTTAGCAGAATTCAATGCATTACTCTATTCCATTACTTATTGTCAACAAAAACATTCGGCGACAACGAGTGCTGTTATTCTGGAAACCGTCACCGGAAGTCTTGAGTCTTATTCTGACAAGCTCGAAGCAGGTCCCCGTTCCCGCAGCCCGCTGCCCCATCCCTCGCGCCGCGGGACCGTTATCTCTGCACACTCAAACCTTGCGTGTCCGCGCGTGAGTCCGAAACGTCGCCCGGGGACGAGACGAGCCAGCCAGAGGAGCCGCAGCTCACCGGAGGACGTCACTTGCGTGGGAAATGTTTCTGGCTCCGAAGTGGTGGATTTGTGTCGCCTGCCTGTCGGGTAAGAGGAGGGGAGAGCGGCGGTGTAACAGGTTGTTTCGCTCCCTGGTAACGGGTCCTCACTTCAACGTTGCCACCGAGCTACAGTCACTTTAACTCGACGAACGTTAACAAACGTTACACCGACGTGTTCGCGGTCACTACACAACAATCCGGCATAGAGACACAATAACCTTTGTGCTGTTACTCGGTCATGCGTGAGGCTTTGGGGGGTCGCGGATTAGGAGGTGCAGTTTCTGGCGGATTTAACTTTGATTTAAATTAGGCCTCTCCGAGAAATCACCGGTTACTACTTCATTTCGCTGTTAGTTGATCCAACTGTCGTAAAAGGCAGAATGTAGGGATGTTACTAACGATGACTTTGTGTCGTTGGTTTGGTCCCGAAATAGTTTGGAATATGTGAATCGGTGTGTAACAAAGGAGAGAATATTCACATTTAAACGTCTTCAATAATGACTCAAATTGAAGAATCGATTCTTGAAATGTTCAGTGATTAATGTCAATAGTTGACAACTAATTGATTAATCATTGTAAGTCGAGAAAAAATCATTACAGAATCTGAGCTGAAGAAAAAAGAGAAAAGTTAAAGCACGTAGGTGCATAAATAAAGTGAAGGCAATGTGAAAAACAATTATGTGGGTCAGTCAACGTTACAACTGGCCCAAGAGTGTGTAAATGTTTTACTACAGCAGCTCAAGGAATAAATACTTGAGTATTGTGCTATAGCCGTGCTATATCCCTCCACAATGGTTTTCTGTTAGCACTGTGGCGTTTTATGGACATTACATGTCGTTCTCCACTAAAAGCACAAGACAGTGTGATGACAAACCAGTGAACCCGTCCAGAAACTTATCCGTAAAGTTATTCTCCCCTTGTTAACGCAGAAGAATCAATACTTTAATACCACATTCCAGTCTCAAAGCGTCCTCGGCAAAACTCCAGTATCCAATATTACAACCGTAGCTATTTGAGCCCCTTTCCACCTCCTGCTCCTCCTCCTGCTCCATGCCTTCATTTTCTCCTCCGGAGGTGGCTTCCTCTGAAAACCAATAAAGCCCGGAACGCCCCGTCGGCCTGTGATCCCAGTGAAGACCAACCTGGCTTTGTTTCTTCTGCTTCTCAGAAGTCAGAGATACGCTCTCCTCAAGGAATTCATGTTTGAGCCAGATAGATTCTTCTTGGTCTGAATTGGCTCAATATTTTCCCCCCCAAAATCCACAACATGTCCTCAGGTGCCCCCCAGAAGGCTTTAGACACATGGGTACGTACAGATTACTATTAGTCACTGAGGAGAAAAGTAAAAAGAACAAACTATAAGGCAAGTAGTGGGCTTTAAATATTTTTTAACATTACATTTGACAGTTTTCAAAATGTACACAGTATAAAAACCGACCTCACAGTAATCAGCTGAATCAGCAAACATCTGGAAGGTTTGCTTTCAAATCTGACTTGTGCTTTATTGTGCAAAGTTATTCTTTGCCGTGTTTCCACTGTGAGAACTGTGTGTGGCTGGTGTTTCGTTGTGGGGCCCCACATTTGGTATTTTGCTCTAAGGTCACTCGGGGGTTACTACTGATTTGTAAATGAATTATCGATCAAGTTGCTGGAAGTTGTGCGCATACCTGTGATGTTTTTGTCCTCGTGAGATCTTCCAGATAGAAATAATATGGTGAACACTGAGCTCGATGAAGCTCGTTGGCGTTTTTGATGAAGTGTATCGGTTCTTTAAAAACAGGGGCGAGGGTTTTGTTAGCTTCGCTCTGTGTAACAGAAAGAAAATAAAAGTCTCTGAACCGGCCTGGTCTGGATTTAGGGAAGCCGACCCCCCCCCTCACTCTCATCGCTCACCTCATCCCTGCTCACTGGCCCAGCTGAGTCTCCCCTCCCACTGCTCCGCCTCACAGCTCACGCACAGATGTTTCTGGGTGTGTGTGTGTGTGTGTGTGTTAGTGGGGGTTTTCACAGGGTCACCCAGTAGTGTGTGTTGCTGTTGATCCACCAGGCAGGAGCTCCTGGTCATCATGTGACTGAGAGTCGACTCGATTTGGAGAAAAAAAAACCTTGCCTTGTTTTCTCATTCCTAACTGGCCAAACTGGCCAATGAGACATTTCATTCCGCTTCACGAAAGAATAAAGACATGCAAGTGTTTCTGGGGAATGTTCATCTTAAAATAGTTCTCTCTAATATTTGTACTGGATGTGAGGCGATGCTCTCCGTGATGCAGGGGGGTTGATTGGTCCGACCTCTTGTAAAGTGTCCAAACCACAAGTGGTGTCTCCTGCATCACCGTGTGCTGCTGTCAGCTGTCGTAGTCCTTAACACCCGTCATTACTCACTCAGTTATTACTTAAACCTCCTTTGGCTGTCACGTCTCTGCCCAGCCGAGCAGTCAGCAGCTTTCACAGAGGCCCCCCGCCCCAAAAACAACAAAGTTGGCACCGTCGAAAATAGGTCCTGTCTGCGATCTACCTGCCGGTGCCCAGACCTCATCACCGGAGGAAAGCGATACACAATTTATAAGAAGTGTTCCTTTTTAACGTAGTGATTAATAATCTAGACTTACTTATCTCCTCCTCCCCCCGCCTTCTTTCACATTTAACCCCATTACGTCCTCCCCACGCAGGTGTCCTCCCGCCCGGCTGCTCCGGGGTCAACGTGTTCGTGAGAGATGAGAAGAAGTATTCGGTGCTGTTCCAGTCGGTGGTTCTGCCGTGTCAGTACAACAGCGTGTCCACCCAGACGCCCGTGGTGCAATGGGTCTACAAGTCATACTGCCGGGACCGCACGCGGGATTCCTTCAACTTCCCTGACAGCTTGGGCAAAGGCCAGGCAGGCGGTGGCCCCACGGGTGGAGCAAGAGGAGCGGGTGGAGGGTACGAGACGGGGATGACGGCGAACTACCTGGACTGCGCGGACAGCAGCCGGACGGTCCGAACCGTGGCCTCCATGTCGGGTTCCTCAATCACACTGTCGGAGTACTACAAGAGCAGAGACATCTCCATCACCAACAGTAAGACCCGTTGCTCACTGTGGATTGATCTTGAGTTTCTTTTTCCTTTTAAATCACACTTTATTTGTGCTAAAGGCCGGATTTTAGCGCACCAGCTTCAGATGGAAATTGACTTCGTCTGCGGTCTCCATCGTTTGCTGAGGGAATTCTTTTAGGCCACAAAGAAGCAGACAACCGGTTATGAAAGATGCTGTAAAAAACATAAAAGAAAAAGAAAGGAAGGAAGTTAAAAGTTTGAAAACAAAACAATAGAACGCATGCTCTGGTTCTTTTGTAACATTTTCATCCAAACTAAGGTTCTTATTTCTTCTGTTTTGCGAAAGCCATGAATCCGATCATCGGCCCACCCATCACACAGATTCCAGATCAAATGCCTGACGAGAAGTCAGAGAAACTGCACACATGCTGAAGATTACAGGACGAAAGCAGGAGGCTTCACTGAAATCCTTCAGGGTAAATAACACGGAACTAGTCGGGATGTTGAACAGGTTCATCTGAGAGAAGAGTTAAAACACTATAAAAGTCACTATCAAACACAGCCCTGTCCTTTCCAAAGGAACCTGTGAGCTGGGCATTTCAACCACAACTAGTCATGGTTAATGACCGGTCCGCGGCCCGGTGGTTGGGGACCACTGATCTAAAGGACACTGCTGTGCACACATGTGTGTGTGTGAACACAGAGAGGTGGCCTTGTTTGCAGGCCTCAGATTAATGGAGCTCTCACTGGTTGAAGAAGCGACCTTCTCTTCACCAGCCAGGAACGCAGACAAAAGAGGTGTTTTATCCACGCTGTCATTCATCTTGACCCGTCGCTCCTTCACTCTGATGTACTTCAATGGCCCGCTTTCATTTTCACCCTGTAGATCTTGTGCACGTCCCAGCTCCACCCGCACCCTCTCTCTTTCCCCTTTCTCTGCACTCTACCTCCCATCCTGGTCGGTACAGCGACGCTTTGAGAATTCTGCCCTTTAGAGGCGCCCGGTCATCAGGACTCGCAGGGAGCTGGAAGTCCGTCCCAGCATGCAGCGGGTGTTCTGTTAATCACATGGCGTAACACAGTCAAACCAATACACTGACTTGCACTTACAGTCCCAGTGGAGCGGTCCGGTCAGTCTGCGTCTCCTCCCTCTTCCTTCGCTTACAGGAAAAGGAAGGAAATGATACGTTTCCCATCGGTTGTATTTTCATGTCTGACCCCTCACAATAGAAGCATGTGTGTGAGAGGCTCGGCTCAAAGTGTATTTGAAATGTTGACGTGGAATAGCATGCCTTTAGAAATGGAGTTAGAAAAATGTAAAATTTAACCTATGTTTTGTTTTGTTTTTGTATGTTTTAACTTTTGTTATTCAGGCTCATCTGGTTTTCTGAGTTGTTACTGGGAGTAATGGGAACTCAGGCTAGGAGCCAAGCCTTGTGGAAAGTGTTTCTAGAGTGATCCTCCCCTTTAGAGCGGATTGATGCTTGAGGTTTAGGAATGAGATGTGTGGGATGCCATGTTGTGAGTCTATGGATTCAGCATGGATATGAATGAGCATTTGCAAGCTGAAAGTTTTCCCCCACAGCTGCTGGAAAGGCCCAAGCTTTACGGCTTCGTTTATTTATTATGAAACATTTTACATTTCACATTGAGTATGCTTACGGCGGAGGAAAAAATGACTTATCTAGAAGATTAGTGAGGCCTACATAGTGTTTATTAAGTTAACTATGTTGTTTTTAGACATTTCTTTGTCATACTGTATTGTGTCTGTGCTGTTTGTGTCACTTGTGTGGACTGTGCTACTGCCTCTTGGCCAGGTCATCTTTGTAAATGAGAATAGGTTCTTTACCTGATAAAAAAAAGTCAAATAAAATTAAGGGTTAGAGCTTTAGCACTTCAATCGGAATCCAGTATAAGTTTTCCTATTTAATTAAACCTATCTTTTGATACCTTCGATACATTTTTTAAAAGTTCATAAACTAATTTACTTTACTTAATTTGTTACCAGAGAAACATTTGGGCCGAGGAGGATTTTGTGTCACATCTTTTACCTCTTCCTGTTCTTTCCCCACACAGAGGCAGACCTGCGCATAGGAGAGGTCCAGTGGGGAGACAGTGGCGTCTACATCTGCAAAGTGGTAATATCTGATGATTTGGAGGGACAGAGCGAAGCCTCCGTGGAGCTGCTGGTTCTTGGTAAGCTGACACCTCTTTACCGGTATTCCTGTTGTGAAGGACGTTAGTTCGATGTCTCATTGACATCCATGGAAATGTGTTTCCAGGATCGCTGTGCGCTCTGGCGGACTGAATGAAACGACGTGTTAGGAAGTCATCGACTCTCGGGGTGCACCACCGTAGACTGTCAGACTAGCCGACGCAGTATCTCCACCAATCCTTTTGTATGTAACCAAATTGCGGACATAAAAACTTAAATTCTGCTGTTACACAACACAGCCTTTAAAAGCAGACCTATTCATCACCGACGGCACAATGCCGGCTGATTCACGGGCTGATTCTCGACTAACTGTGGCCTCCTAGGGGAGTCTTGCTTAATCGGTGACCATAGCAACTGCATTTCCTCCTACTGTATGTCCCTATATACCTTACAGGAAGTTTTCCTTAAAACGGGGCGGCCGCATAATAGTTATTGCCTTTATCGAGTCTTCCACATGCCACTTAATCCTGTGTGTGTGTGTATATAGTTGTGTATGCAGGTGTGTGTGTAGAATCTGAACGTGTTAAAGTAGCTACAAAGTATCGTTTCTTTACAGTGACAGTGTACTCGCCTGCACTCAAATACAAATGTTGCCATAGCAACGGCTGGGACGAGACTATGAGGCTGTTGCTGCTCCAATTCACTCTGAGGCTGAACTTTTGTTTGGCCGGCACTCAGAGACTTATGTGTATGCTCAAAAGGACACACACAGAAATACACGCACAAGTACTCGACGATACGCGTTTACAGAGACTTGAAAACATTCTTTAAATTGTTCGGGTTTGCTGTGATAATATCTGACAGAAAATGCTAGAAGCAAATGAAAATTACAGGATTTTCCCGTGTGTCCTTTGCCGTCTCCAACCTCAACTGAGACGCTAAATATTCCACAGAGACAAAATGTCGTTTCCCGATCTTAGTGTCGCTAACATGGCGTGTGAGGCACTTGTTGTGTTTCCATAACAACAGTTGGGGCCACCGGGGCCGACTTCAGGGGTCGTTTGTCTTTTTTTGTGAGTGGCGCCACAGCAAAGAAGGGAGGGAATATTTAATGATGAGGAGGAGGGACAGCAACATACAGCGGGACAAAAGATGGAGGGTGACACCATTTGAGACACTCTGCACCTGAAAGGGAAGAATTCTGCTTCAATCTGTTCAGATTTTTTATTTTTTTTTACCTCCATTGCCCCTTTTTCTGTAGTTCTGAAGCTACATTGTGCACGAGGCGGGAAGTTGATCACGTGCAAAGTGTTCCTCGTCAAACGATAAAGTATCATTGACCCAACCTACAGCCCACCAGCTTCTGGATTAATGAGACCCATAATAATACTTGGGACTCTTTAATGAAAACAGAAACAATCTTCATAGTCCAGATATCTGTTGATGTAGAGGACATTTTGACCGATACAAAACCAAGTCGGTGACAACTTACAGTTTTAAAATTGTAGTGCTCTCTGGTAGACAAATTCCTGAGCCCTTTTCCAAAGGATACGAGGTCATACAGGTCATGTGTAACCTGGACAGGACCTGGAGTTTGAAGTGTTGAACCATTAACGAGACCGTCTGTGGGTATTCGCTCTCTGCAGAACATTACCGTTACAGTTCATTGTGGCAGAGAATGAACCCCTCCTGTTTGGATAACCTTATATTGAGAGACAAGCAAACCCCAAATGTTCAATAAAGGATAGAGATTAAAAAAAAAACAGATAAAAAAAAAAAACTAGAGATGTCCTTAAATGCACATCATGCAAACTTCAGCGCCTCGTTGTTTTCAAAGCATTCAACAACTGATTCAGCTGCCTCTCGATAACCTCAAAGAGGTCTCCTTCTCTTTTCAAAGCCTTGCAGAAAGACAGCGAGTGAGGTATGTGCGCTGTCAGCCAGTGAGTGTTTCTCCAGTCCTCCTTCCTCCTGCCCGGTACCCTTCTCCTCCTCTTCACCACATGCACACAGAGGCAGCAGTGGAGCGCTCTCATCACAATCGATGCCCGGCTTTTGTTCACCAGGCTTCAGCTCGCTCACAGTTTGTGACGTGGTGTCCTCATCCGTCGCGCTTTGTTCAGACTTTCTGACCTTGTGCCGAGTCACTTAGAGCTGTGTTAAAATGTTATGCTGAAGGAGAAAGACAAAACACCGGCAAGATACCGCCAACAACAAGTGGCAGCTGGTGCCTGTTTTTAAGGCTTTATTTATATTGCTTTTCTTTCCTCGCAAAAGTCAATGCCACCTTTCCACAAAAACACAACTAAACCGTTAAAGGATTTAATTAAGAAGAATTTTATAAATAAAAAAATAAAAAAACTTCTTCATTTTCACTTAATGATTTGATTTGAATACATCAACATTTAATGGAAAAATCCCATCCGTAGTTAAAGAAACAGTTTGGAAATATGAGTTGTCGATGTGAGGTTCACAGCCAAGAAATAGTCCCACACACAGCAAATAATGTTCAACTGTAAAGATTCCTTCCTGGAGTAAACATCTGATCTCAGAATACTGACAGACAATACTGACAAATATACCGGTGTATGACCTGATATGGTGGTTGCCCGGAGCATTTGCAAGGGGCTCCAGGTCTCATCCAGGAGCCACGGCACCAGCTCGCAGAGACAAGGCGTGTCTCTGCGCTCTGCCCGCTGGCTCTGGACACCAGGAATGTTCCCACCTGTGATCTCTGCAGCTCTGCATGTAACATTACTCACAGCTCCTGCCTACTGTTATCCTCGTGAGAGGGATTCCTGTTGTTCCGTGTGCAGATTACCTCACAGGTTCTGATTTCATGAATTGGTTCCTCCGTCTGGAGAGCAGAATGGCCTCTGGTGCATGCGGCTGTTGACCTCTCTTTATCTGTTTATCTTTCTCTGGCTTCTTTCCCTTGTGCATGCCACTTCTGCAACAACTTCCTTTGAATCAATCCTTTATATCACCATTTGCTTCCTTCTCCTCTCCTTGTCGTCACCTCTGCTCTTTCTCTCCAGGTTTCTCAGGTGTGCCTGAAGATCTGCTGCCAGGCTTTGACTTGAAGATTATGCCAGGTAGGGGCATGATGTATCCTCCCCCCTCACCTGTTGCCTCCCGTTCACGCTAACCCTACTAACTGCTCTACGGCCGGAGGAACCGCTGGGCTGGTGGTGGCTTTTGGGGAGACTTTTCTCTGCACACACAGTGAGGAGTGCAGAGGAAGGCGTATCAGATAGAGGTTCCTATACTCACAGCTGCGATGCCGTAGCACCTCACGTCAGTAAATAGTGCAGCAGGTGTTAGTGATTCAGCCGTAAGGAGGCTCTGACCCAGCGGTCAGCACCACGCCCGTCAGATAATGAGCCGGCCGCCGCTCCCACTATGCTGCGCTGTGCTGGGAAAACAGCTATTATGGTTATTTATGGCTGTGGTTGGGGTGTCATCCCACATCGTTTGGACACTACTCAGTAACGAAAACAAACCCACTGTGATCACGAGGGAGGGAGGGTTGTTTATGTCTCATCACATTCCTGTAATACACATTGGATTATCACAGTTTGTGGGGAGGTGATGGATGAATGAATGAATGAATTGTCTGGAAGTCAGTCCCAAAATGACTTGGTATGAGTCATCAGACAGAATGGTTCCTGCAAGCTTATCTCTTCGTATCGACTCCCACTGTGCTCTGAGATGTCTAGTATGTGCTGTGGTAGCTGCAATCCGTGTGTGTGCGCGTCCAAATGAGATCACATTTACACAAGTTAATTCCTTGTCACAGCCAAATCTTCAGTATCTTCCAGAGCGGTGTAACCTGGGCCTTTCCTTCCTGTGCCAAAGTGTGGTTTCCTGTGTTTTTGTGTGTGTGTGTGTGTGTGTGTTTTCATAGAGACAAAGTCATCCTTGGTTTTACATTGTTAAATATTCCCTTATCTGCCCTCTCCTTCCCTTTCCTCTGCTTTGTCCCTATGGACACAGACAGTTTATCTGCAGTACGTTCTGTATCACTCAGAAACAACATTCTGTGTAAAATCATCTCATTTTATGTGGTAACTCATATTCTGGCTACAATATTGCAGATTTTTTAACTATCTTTTTTAAAACTTTTGCTACAGTAAAAGTAAAATATAAACTGGCACCAATCGTTCGCGTTTTTCAACTATCCAGCCGTTTCCTCCTTGAAACATGTGAGGCCTGCAGGAAGGATTCCTCACCGCGTCCACTAGGTTTTTGCGTTTGTTTCATGTTGTGTTGTTGTTTAATCTAGTAAACATCTCAAGCAAAACAACAATACAAATGTATTAGGAAATCCAACAACTGCAGGTTAGAATGGTAAACGGTGTGCAGCGGGGGAGCAGGACATTTAGTGCTAATTTACAGACCTATTTAAAGTGAAACACCATTTCCAGGCCGGATGTGATTCCATCAAACTCTTTCAATATCCATGTGTGTCTGAATGCCGGGTTGTGTGTTGTGTGCGTACTTGCAGAGTGGGTGTTTGTGTCGGCCGTGGCGCTGGGCAGCGTCTTATTCCTGCTGCTATTCGGGGTTTGTTGGTGTCAGTGCTGTCCTCACTCCTGCTGCTGCTACGTCAGCTGCTGGTGCTGCCCCGACACGTGCTGCTGCCCAAGACACCGTGAGTACCCACACACACACACACACACACACACAGATGTGCAAAAAGTGAACTCAGTGACACAAAGCATTTGAATGGTCTGTTGCTAGTTTACGAGGCGGGTAAAGGTATAAAGACGGGCACCTCCACACCTGCCTACCCTCCATACTTTGTCACCGGTGTCCCGACGATGGTCCCAATCGCTCCGCCTTCTCTGGTGGACAAGATGTCCGCCGCCCCCCCTTCGGAGGTCAGCCTGCTCACAGCAGGTGAGGTCTTACTTCTATCAGCAAATGGTCCCAATCTTTTCTAATTATTGAAATACAATATCAGTGTTTTGTTTGTTTCCTTTAACCCAGTAAAATCATCCACAGAGTTTATTCTTGACTTTGATATATTTGCTGAACGTTGGATATTCTGCATTATGAACTTGATTTGAAAGCGCTGCATCCGTGACGCACTGAAAACGGTTTCTTTCAGTTTCTGTTATATTTTTGCATATGTGAATGCTGTACGTTAAGGTTGTATTCTCGTGGGTCCATGTTGACTGTTTTATTCTACACCTTTTGGCTAAAAAGAACAGCAATTAAATAAAATACAGAAATAGAAAACCAGCAAAAGAGCCAGTGTGGCCACAGAGAACAAACCGGAGTCGTCCGTGCTGATGGGTCAAGTGTGTATCTGCAGTGCCGATGCATGCCGTAGGGGCTCCCTACCGCGTGCCTTCCTCTCAGGATCAGGACTCTCTCAGGGTGCTGCAGTACGTAGAGAAACAACTGGCTCACTTCAACCCGGCCAGGTCCATCAGCCACCAGAGTAAGCCCCATGAAGCCGTCCTGTGGATTTGCTCTCTGCCCTCAGCCTCTTTTAAAGCATGTTGATGCACTCGATAGAAAACGCATGCTGCTCTGAAACTGTTTCTAGTTTCTTGTGGACTTTTTGGTTCCCTTCAGCTTTTCTTGGCCTCTCTCTCTTTGTACCATTGTTCTGCTTTCTGAGTTTCCAGTAGCTGAGATGTGCGTAGTAGCAGGTGTGCATGGCTACTTGTCGTCGTAATTCTCCCTCCAACACTGTATAGTCGCGCAAAGTCCTCAACTGAGACCTTCTCCTTCTGCAACGTGTCCGTCAACTTCTGTTCTTCCTCCAGGAGGGACGACCTTCAGTGTCTTTGTCTGTGTGTTCAGTTGTTCCTTAACTAAACATGACGTCTCCAGCCTGCAGCCTGTCCGAGCTGAGCTCCCTCCACGAGGGCGAAGCCGGCTTCCGCCAAACCTACCGCAACGTCCAGAAGAAAGCTCTGCCCGCCATCCCTGACCACGACCCTCAGCCCGAGCCCCAGCGCTACCGTGACAACCGCAGCCCGGAGCCTCAGCGTTACCGCGACGACCCTCCTTCCCCCCAGCGGTATCAGGATGACCCCGACGCAGAGCCCCGCCGCTGCCAGGACCAGGATCTCCCCCTGCGGCGGCACAGCGACGACCCCCCGACCAGCCCGCGGCCGCGCAGGCCCGGACGGAACCAACGGCACCAGGATCACAGCGAGGAGGAGCCCCCCAACAGGTGCACATGCTCCGTTTACTGCTTACAGACAACCGACTTCCTCTACGCAGTACATGGCGTGATCCAATGAACCATAACTGATTTAACAAGCTGTGACTGCGTAGTTGTTTGATTCCACACAGTACTCACACAGCTGTTGGTCTTCTCTCTTGCATCTTCTTCCCTCCCTCTCTCCCCCCCCCCGTTGGTCCTCGGCTTGCGTTCCGCAGGTGGAACCCTCGTTCAGAACATCTGCACAGGAAGGCGTACCGCACCGGCGGGCGGACCATCTCGCTGGACGAGCTGGAGGAGTTTGCGGCTTCCTACAAGCAGAGGGGAAGCCGAGAGGACGGGAGAAGGGAGGAGGAGAGGGGAGAGTATGAGATGGAGCTTCGGGAGTTCCGTCGATATCCCTCCCACCGCAAAGGCCCCCCACAGCACTACCACACTGACGAGAACGAGCTGGCAGACGACAGCGACCACGGCGATCGCCCCAGGCGGAACACGAAAGGCGGACAGAACATAAGCCCACTTCAGTCGCCCAAAAAGAGGAGGGGCACCTGGGACAGCGAGCGGCCCGCCCCCCCCCCACCCAGAGTCAGTCCACCGTCGACCTCTTCTCAAGAGAAGGACTACGACGGCGCGTTCCTCAACAGCCTGCTGGAGCGCAAGGCCAAGTTGCGGGGGGTCAGCCAGGATTCGGACACGCCCTCGAAGGACAGCTCGAAGAAGAGCAGCGGGGAATCGAGCCGGCCGTGCAGCCGCTCGCCCAGCAACAGGCCCGAGGCCGGGTCACTGCCGCCCTACTCGGACACGGAGCGGGGCAGAAGTGACAGGCCGCCCCCGGCGACCACTCGCTCCCCTCAGCCTCCCGTCCATCCGCCGCCCGCTCGCAGAGAGGAGCCCAGAGACAAGACCCGCAAAGTGGTGAGATCCACCCAGCCGATGGATCTAACTGCAGATCAACAGCGCTGACTAGAGCTACTGTAGCATCTTTTTGTAGTTTTTGAAAATGAGCTATTTGTTTGTCTGTGTCAACACAGACAGACTTTTGCTACAGTCAATAATTAAACCACCATCTTGTTGAGTGGAACCAGGGATTATATTTAGTTCCCAGCGTCGGGGTTGGACTTGTTGATTGTTTAGGAACTATATGCAGAAAAGTTCACATATTTACAACTTCAAAATGAGTTTATCAAGAATGAGTTGAACCTCGTATCATCTTACTCACACGGCGTCTCAGCTCTGAGAGGTTTGTAGGCGCACAATAAGTGTTGTTGTTGTTGTACCTTCGACAGGTCAGGTTCAGACGCTACTACAGTGAGAACTAGGTAGAAGACTCTGTTCTGTATCCAACTACTCTCATTAACAGTCTTAACCGGTTGTGTCCTCCTTTACAAACCTGGGTCAAAAAGGTTTTCAACATCAAAGACTTTAAAGTGATTGGCCAGAGCCGTCTTTCAGGGGTTTCAATCAAATCTCCCAAAGCAGTTTGAAATGCAGTTTGTCCCAGGTTCATCATAATACCCATTGGCTAATGTCCACTATCTCCTAACTCTCTCATTCTACTGAAAACCACTTCGCTGAGTAAACGCTCTGCCGTTGTGATGATCAACTGATTCTTCTTTTCCTCACCAGAGCACTCTTCTCAGCCGGGACTCCCTCATCGTCTGACGCACGGACCGAGGACTTTCACCCCACAGGAGCTGCATGGCAGCTGACGAAAGGTGATGTTAAAAAGTTGTACTTTGTACAGCAATACTTGTATTGCAAATAAGCGCAGTTGACTGTGCAGGAAATCTGCATGAGCACCGGGAATGAAGAAATGGACAAAAGAGACACTTTTACTATTCACACTGACGCGGGGGTTTCTGCCTGTGACGTCGCTGAATGATGAAGTCATCACTGTTTGGTTTCTGTCACCGGCAGCCTCATATACATCTCAGCTGGACTAACAGTGAACCAGCACAGGCTATGACCTGGACCCCCCCTCGCCCCCCCGGCAGGACGCTGTTCATCTCCTCGCGTCGCTTTAGAAAAGACTATTTTACGCTACCAGCACAATGAGTGCATTCTTTTCCACTTGGTGAGATATCTGCTTTGAATAAGCACAGTTGCAGAAACTGAGGTATAACAGCATGATTGTAGAGGACATACTGTGGCTTCAGCTGAATAACAATACAAACTGTGTGTCATTCAAGGGCTAAATCATCTGACTTAAACAGCCTTTGCAATGTTAATGTTGACGTAAAGCTGGTAGTAGTAACCAACATTGCCAAATGTTAATATGTTTATCTGTAATGGGAAAAAAACATTGAGCAAAGCCCGTGTGAGTCTGTCCCTGACTTACTGACTTAATGATGAAGTTACACTGTCGGCTGGTCCAGTGTTCAGTTTCATGTTCATTTCCAACTGCACGGGCTGAATGGAAGCCAGAGTGCACTCGCTGCAGACGCTGCTGTCAGGAGACCAAAACGGAGCTAAATGGAGAGTGAAACACAACTCCGAATGATCGAGAATATTCCAGTGTAACAAGCAACGGTTTCAATGTTCGCCGTTACAACTTCGTTTTTTTTTTACGTTTGTGTTTACAGCTTTTTCTACTGCCCCCATGTGGCTAAAATACCCAGTGGAGAAAAAGGAGCCTTCAGACTCTATTGGCAGAAATGGAAAAGGATTTTCTTTAGTGTGTTAATCACCTCAAAATAAGGATCATTATGTTGTTGTTAACAGACAGAAGCTCCTCTTCACAGATCCGGACGCCGTGTTTCCACAGTAGCTCAGAAACTAAACATCGGCCGTAATATGCGCCCTTAGAGCGCTAGATGCCGCCAAATCCTACAAACTGCTCCTCACGGACTCAGTCGTGCAGATGCTCCCAAACTGTAGGAGGGCCAGTTTGAAATGAATGACAACACGCAGCATAAGCCAAACAATGTAGGGAACTAAGAAATGGACTAATGCTGCAGCCCGACACTAAACTTCTACATTACGTTCCTGAATCATAAAGCATTAATATTGTTTTGTCTCCTCTCTGTACGTCCGTTCATCTCCTGTTAAAACATGTTAGTTTGCACAAATCAACTATTTACTCCGAGGGACTAAAGCCTAATAAATGTTGTTTTATATAAACGATTAAGATACTAAACCTGCCTGTTCCGAGGCTTTTGTTTTTCTACGATGTGACGACATTTTTATATGTAAACTGGACCTCTTTCTGTGTGGTGTGATATGATGGATTTGTAAATGATTGTTTGTTAAGGCTGTCCAGGGTGACAGTGTACAGAAGATGAAGTGCCTCCAGCTTGATAACTGTGATCCAGCCTCTTCTTATCGCTGCTGAGTCAACAGCTTCTTACCTTATCAACAGCCACACGCAGCACACAAATGCAGAATACACAGCGGCCTTCCGATTTCTTACGTCCTTTTTTATAACAATACACCAAACAGTATTTCATTATTCCTGCCATCATGTTGTGCCACGAACTGTTTTCTTCTACCCTGTTTTGTGCTGTCTGGTACTGAAGTGTGTGTGTGTGTGCGCGATGACTCCTTACTTTTCTGAAGAAGACAATGTGTAATTGAGTGTGACTCATCTCTTTGTTCATTGTTGTAACCACAGATTGCTTTTCTTTTGCGTGGTCGTTTTGTCATCAACTAATGTCACAATATTTTTTTCCACCATAACATATTTATTTATTGGCAGGACAGAAACATAAAGACCAAAAGTGTTTATCTCTCCACTGCCTCTGCAAATAAGCTGAGTAGAAATAATGTTAGTTATTTGTAATAGTAGTAATTGATAACCAGTATTATTCTTCATTATGAGACGTTTAACTTTTAGTGTCCATCAACTTTACTTGAGCTAAGAAAATAAATCCAATGGGATTTTAGGTTATTCGTGTTATGCAAAGACCTACATTGCAAATTAACAACATGGCAGATGACATGTTTGTAATTCAAAAGCAAGTGTTGTTAATAGTACTTCTGTTGTTCTACTTTAGAAACAAATTACTTCTCGTTCTCAAGCAAAAGAGACCCCCAGTGGGATGAACAGAAGACAGCAAAGCACCTCAAGAGCAATTCATCAGATTACATTAAAGCGAAGCCCTCTTCCTTTTCTTTGTGTCTATTGTCCTTCTTGTGAGTGACGGAGACATGTGTTTGTGGTGGGAGGGATCAGCTGGAGGGTATGTCAGGAATGTTGTTGAGCAGCTTCTTCCTGCAGAGACATCAGCAGGGAAACAGGACATCACCTCGCGCCCCCAGTGGAAGCTTTGTGTTTCTATGTGCCAGGTATTACATACACTTTGTAACATTTTAATAAAAATTGTGTGACAGGTGGTGGGGGGCGGAGGGGGTTGAATACAGTCAATCAAAGCAGCATGTGCTGCCTGCTGGCAGCGTGCATTTGGTTCCATTAATCAAAATCTAGTAACTACAACTGATTGACTAATGGTGTGTAAAAGATGGAGATACTAAAGGAACGTTCCATTATACCTTTTTTAAAGAATGTGAATCTGTATTGTTTCTTTCCATCGCCAGCAAAGCCACTCGTCATATATTTAAGTTCTTTATAAATAAACCTGTGCAACATAGACCGTGTTGTTTTATTGAATGTAACTCCATACCATTTATCTATGTGTGCTAAAGTAATTTTAATTAAATAGATCTTAAATAGACCAGATGTGCCTCCAGGCTCAATAGCTGCTGTGCATGACGATACCTGAACCTGCATCGTGCCACGGCTAATTTAGCGCTGATGTAATTGTATTAGTTTTGAATATATGTGTTCATGGAATAAACCGCAAAACCCAAATGAATAGGATTCAAAACGAGTTTAGCCTGCCACCCAGCGGTGTGACATCGGAGCTACACCTGAGTGTTGCGTGGAGAACGTTCACTGTGGTGACGTCACGGAGGTGCGGATGAATTCACCTGTTTCGGGGCGTGGCCAGAGATGGTTCGCGTATCAACCGCAGACTTGCTGTTGGGATGACACGATGAACAGTTTCTCGCTTTTGGGTTAGATTACTGGCCGCCGGGTTCGTTGGTTTTTTCTCTCCTTCCTTTTATTTTCTCTTGTATCGTTCGGGGAGAGTTTTGCTTCCCACTTTTTATTCGGAAAAGGATTTTTGTCATCATGCGAAGATCAGCTGCCGTGTTCTTGCTGCTGTCGCTTCTGAAAGGTATTTAAATGATGCGTTGGCCTTGTGCTCTTTAATTAAACCCGTTAATGTTTTCGACTGAAACGAACCAAACTGGAAGTATTGGTCACATGACAGTGTTTGTTTATGGGACACAAAGATAGTTGGACTAAATTTAAATATATATATTGATCCGTTGTATTAATAATCTAAGATTAGTTTCATTTTGACTATCTATAGCTGCACCCATGATATCTTTGAGTCCCCGGTGATCTGTCCATATCTATCGACAGATCAACCGGTTTCATTCCAGCCTCTGAGTGTTTGGCTTGTAGTTTCACTCGAGGCCGCTTCCTGCCCTCTTCTATCTGCTCCACCTGTTTTTCTGGTTCTGCCACTTTGAAAATGAACTCTCGGGCAGAGAGAAACACTCACACACCTTGTTTCAATCTGACCACAACTGTGCTCCTTTCCTCATTATTGACAGCGTTGTTTTAATTCACATGATGCAGCCGTGTTCCCTGTTGCACTAACACACAGACTCTGCTGTCTCTAACCGTGCGTTTGCTTTCCCCCGGTCAACAGCGTCGGTGTGTATCCAGGTGAATGTTCCTGAGACGGAGCGCAGCACAATGCTGTTTTCCTCCGTCACCCTCCGGTGTGACTACTCCACCTCTGCAAACCTCCAAGAAGTCCTGCTCACTTGGAGGTTCAAGTCCTTCTGCAAGGACCCCGTACTGGAGTACTACTCCTCAGGTAACCGCAGGCCTCAGGAGAGAAACGGAGGCATAATGTATTGGAATAATGCCCGCTTTTCTCTGAATGACCATATGTAGTCACTACATCCACTATTTGTTTTTGCATTTGGGACATTTCTTGACGGTATCCATTATTACTCTGTTTCTTATTTTTTACACTAATATTAGTGACAGAGTTGAGCATAAAAATCTGCTCAGATCATAATCTGTTGCTTTTTAATCGGTATGCCACACTCCCATTTCATGACGGATTACGCTTGTGTAAATTACAAATTATAATAAACTGGATTCATACGGAATATTTTAAGATAAAATTACAAAGGGCTTTTGATGGAACAGGACTGTACTGTGAAATGCAATCAAATAATGAATGCACTGCAAAATTAAATAAAATACTATAAAACGTAAAAAGCAGATTGGGCATGTTGGAAATAAAACAACAGGTTCACAATAATAAAGTTTTTTTTTTTTTTTTTTAATACAAATAAAGCCCTTGAATCCTTGATCTGGACAGAATCAATGGACATTGATTTTGTAAATACTCCGTGAAGTCTGAGGATCACTAAAGTCAGTAGGATTCATCCTCTGGGCACCGTGAATGTACAAACTCAGTCCCTCCACTGCTATCAGAGATATTTCAGTCTGGACAGGAGTGATGCCTGAAGGTACAAACAATGTGTTGACGGAAGCTTTGCCCCTGCAGCGTACCAGTCTGCGCTACAGCTGGGACAGGACCCGGCCAACGATTGTCCGGACCGCCAGCGGACGGTGCGCACGGTGATCCAGAGGAGAGGGAACAGCCAGCCGACGCTGGGATCAGAGTACCGCGAGCGCAAGATCACCATCCAAAACAGTGAGTTCAAGTGGATATGTTAATGATCGATTTAGATCTGTCTGATTTGTCATCTTTGATCCGGTGTAAGCGAAGGTGTCTCTCTGTGTTTGCACAGCTGCTGACCTGGTGATCACTGAGGTGATGTGGTGGGACAACGGGGTGTACTTCTGCACCGTCGATGCCCCTGGAGACACCACGGGAGACTCTGACAAGGAAGTCAAACTCATCGTTTACCGTAAGGAACAAAAAGACAAACTCTCCCTCTCTGATTTTACTGCAGAGAAGTTCTCCAATGAAGTTGTTCAAACCTGAATGTGCGTGGCTTTACAAGCTGAAGAATATCAGGAAACACAGAAATGTGTATTGAGGGACGTTTTTCCCCTCCCTCTCTCAGACTGGTTGACAGTGCTGCTCATCGTCATCGGAGCCCTCCTTCTGATCATCCTCTTCGGTATCTGCTGCTGCCAGTGCTGCCCTCAGAAATGCTGCTGCTATGTTCGCTGCCCCTGCTGCCCACAACAGTGCTGCTGTCCGGAAAAAGGTAGAGCGCACTGCAAAGATTATGAATGTTAAGGTGAAAAAATATTAGCTAAAGGTTGCTAATATGCCATTAAAAGTATGCATTGTCTGCATTGAAGAGGATCTTGTGGTAGCGAGTGTGCACAGGATAAATGATTTCAATAACAATGTACTCTGCAATGGGGCTTGTAAGTATCGAGTGAGTCAGACTTGTAGAAATGTGAACGTATCTCTTAACGTTAGATCATCAAAACAGTTCCTGCTCTTGACTGCAACCCTGTCTAATGTTAAATGATAACAACAAGTGAAGGTGCCTTTTTCTGTGTCACCTTTAACACCAACATCTCTGGAGGTGGATATTCATACGAAGCTCATTTAAGCCTGTGTACTCGGTGGGGACCTTCCTCTATTGTTGAATATTAAAGGATGTGCTGTGCTCTTTCAGCGGTGATGCAGCATCGTATGATGAGGGACGCCCAGAAGGCCATGGCGCCCTGGATGGGGGGACAGCCGGTGTATGGACCAATAAGCCCCAGCCCCTCCCAGATGAACCCGCTGCTCTACTCCGGTACGCACGCATCATATTTCACGTTGCTTAAGGAACCGCATTAAACCGTTCGCCGGTATTCATCCATAAGGGTCTCTTAATGAAATGTTTTTGCCTCTCCAGGATCTTCTTCAGGGAAGAGCTACCCGATGAAGCCCATGCCCCTCCCTCCCCCCCAGTCTTCAGCTTACAGCGCGCCGGCTCCCAGTGTCCACGGCACACACACCCCCGCCAACTCCAATCACATGCTCGATTACCTGGAGAACCAGGTGCGGGGGCTGGACATGGCGACTCCTCTGCTACAGGTGTGTGACCGCCCATGTTCTAGGATCTCTTATGTCATATTGTCACATTGCGACTCTGTTTTACTTTCGAAAGACAGTATTGTTTTAGAGGTCGATCATACACTATATTATATTAAATGTACATTCTGAGTCTCTGAAGAGAATCAAAAGATTTTTTGCACCGAGAAAATACCAGAAATTTCTTCCTTTTCTTTCTACAAAACAAGGGTTCTAAAAACAATTCTAAGGTTGTTATTTTTAGGTAATAAATTTGAGAAAAGATGATCATTGCCTTGTTGGAAAATGAAGCCAGAGATGTGGTGGCTGATTGAAGTCGTTGTCGTTTAAGGTTGTTTTATGCTGAATCAGTTGTTATATTTGACCAGGGCAGAGATCAACGGTCTTAACAGATTCTCAAAACTGCCACACGTGATTTGGGACCTTTGCAATAAGACATAAGCAGTATGAAAAGTATTGCCTCCACAAGGCGATGGATTAGGCAAGGCTATAAGCCAATGGATTTGTCTCATGATCAATTAAGTTAATAATTAAACAATCAAACATTAAACAGCCACATTGTATCTCAAATGGAAAAACTTTTTTCTGTCACTTTGCAAAGCTGGAATTGTCAAAATGGTTTGGTTTTGATTGACTCAGCTTGGTCAGGGAGGTGATTGTATCATTTCCTGCAGCAATGGAGGTCTTCTGGGTGCAAACAGTACAAACTGTAGTTTGGAATTGTGTTTCTGTGAATTTCACTGAAAAGTGTTGTTTTAATTGATCTTTTCTGGTCTCTTCTGGTTTCTTCTACCCATCAGTCCCAGCCTCCTCCTCCCCAGCACATGCAGCACATGCAACACATGCAGCACATGCAACACATGCAGCACATGCAGCACGTGCAGAACATGCAGAACATGCAGAACATGCAGCACGTGCAGAACATGCAGCAGATGCCACCACCTCCCCAGCACCTGCTACACGCCCCATTTTCCCCCGGCCCTCCCAGTATGATCTCTGCCCTTGAAGATGGCCCAACAGAGCGCCGCGTCATCACACTTCCTCCTATCAGAGAGCAGCCGCCGGCCAGGAGCCGACCCGCTGCACCCAGAACCCGGCCCCCGAGCTCCAGCGCGAGCAGCCGCAGCGGCTTCAGCCGTCATGACGAGCATGGGGAGGCGAGCAGGCGTCACCCCTCCCACGCCCGGTCCACAGGGATTCCCAGGAGCTACAGCGAGGAGTCACTAGACGGGCGACGTCACAGCGGGCCGAGAGGAGGCATGGACCGACCCCGCTCCCGCTCCAGGGACGACCTGTTTGACAGCAGGTCCAGAGAAAACTACTCTGCCCCGGCATCACGGCACGCCGCTGGAGGGTCCTGGAGCTCGGACGATGAGGGCAGCAGCAGGAGAGGAGGCGAAGGCTTCGCTGAGAAACCTCCCAACTACTCCGAGTACGAACCTGGACAGAAACCGGGAGCACGGAAGAACCAGCGCTACTCCGTAAGACACACACTTCTGTAGTTGTCAGACACAAACCCCGGCGCGCGCTTACATGAAGAGAAACGCACACATATTCAAACGCGGCCTCGTCATAAAAATAGGAAGTATGAGTAATTAAAAGTGAAGTGAATCTAAAGTGTGTCTCTCTCAGGACAAGAGCTCTCGGAGTGGTACCAGCGTCGTCATCTGAGCCCTCCAGCTGTGAAATGCACTGCAACATCTGGTTCAGAGAACACCAGCACAGAACTGGGAGACTTGTTGTCTGGCTACTGGTAAACTTTTGAATGCCAACATTTTAGTTCGAGTTAAAGTGAATCATGAACACACTCTTTCATTATATTCTGGCAGAAGGATTCACAAAATGTGAGATTGAATGTGTTCATCAAAGTGTGAAGGTTGCAAAGAAAATGCACGTGTGGAAACCTATTTGGTAGCCAATACATTATAATATCATTGTTCTTTTTAAAAGTAAGTCAGGTTTTACCACTGAACAGATTTTCTGAATAAATCTCACTCTCTGCTGGTTCAGCAGTGCAATAGAAATCTGTAGAAGAGTTTAGGACTAGAATCCTGTGAAATTATTCCTTCATGTGCCTTTTTAATAGTTGTTTTACATTTTCTCTTGATTTCTTGAAGTGTACTAGGTTTTGAAGGGGAAACGGTGTGTGCCACTGTTCAGATGTTTTTTAATCCTTTTGTATATAAGATAACATTAGTTAAATAACCGTAAACACTATATGTAAATAAGTATTTTACATGGCGTTTTCACATCATATGAAGTAATATGGACATTGTTACAATACACAATTTTTGCGTTTTCGATTACGGTTGTTCATACAGCTTAAAAATGTAATGCTTTTTTATATATAAAACTAAAGTTTCCATCTTTTGCGTGATTCATAATGAAAGTTCTAATACTTCATTAAAAATCAGTTCCATATGCATTAAAGAGGTTAATTGCTCCATTGATGTTTTTAAGAATTTGACAGTTTCTTCCACAATGTCACAATGTGCAGTCATTGTGTTTTGATTTATATTTTTAAAGATATAGTTTTACCTTGAATAAAATAAATGATCCATTGATATAATAAGACCTTTTTGTCTTTCGTAAATATTCCACTTCAATAAATAATTACAGGTTCTTCACTTGGACTCAACAACAATGTGAATATAACACTTGGGAAACAAAATGTCATGTATTGCTGCTATTGTTCTTCAAATCTTTATTCAACTTATCTTTATCCTACTTTTTCTGCCGCTGCACCTTTCAGCTTCTCCAGGTTTTCAGCTCCTTCAGGAGGGGTGCTGTGACTTTTAAGAGATCTACCTCTTATGCTTGAAGTAATATTGTAAAATTGTAGCACTTAAATTGTACTTGTAACATCACTCATTTATAGCTAATTGTAAATTGGCTTATTTGAGGAAATTGCACTTTCTTGTTTCTTGTTCTCCTGAGTTTGTACCCTATGGTTGAATGCACTTACTCTACCCATCGGTTGGATAAAAGCGTCCGCTAAATGACATGTAATGTAATGTAATATAAATCAATACTCATTATATTTTGAATATTGATTTCCATTTCTCTGAGTTTTTCAGACCATTTCAGAGTGGGTGTGTATGTTGTAGGCCAGAGAGGAGACTGAAAAACTGGAGTGCAGCTTCAGCATCTGGTTAAAAACATTTATATTTTGACAGCGTTGCCACAATTTTCACTCTTCATGCTTCATTTTTGGATCAATAGATCCTAAGGAATGTGGTGCTGGTCGTATGAATGTGGAATCCAACATACATTACTCAGCACCACAGCGGCCCGAGAGTGAAACAAAGTCCAACTCTCGCCTCATAGAACGTTTTTTAAACTGCCGGTAGAGTCTCTGTCCACCTTCCCACACAGACTCTCTCGTTCTTACTCACCCATTAACTCTCTCTCTCTGTGTCTGTCTGTCACCCGATCCCATAATTTCAAAATAAAAGCCCTATGGAGGGAATTCTTACTGTAATGTTTGTTATTAAGCCTATCAATTGATAAGTTATTAGTTGAAAGGGCAAATATTCTGTCTCCTAACTCCGCCTCCCTAAACCCATCATTTGAAAATAAAAGCCTCTGATAATATGTACCTTAACATAAAGCTCAGAATGAAGCTGTTTTGTTGAAATACGTCAAATTCTACTACGACAAATATTACTACTGATACTACTACTAGTTGTACTACTACAACTGATACTACTGCTAGTAATGCTAAAGCTACTAGTATTTCTGCTATTAATCATAAAATTACTCCTACCAGTAGTACTAAAAATACTACTATTACTACTACAAGTAGTAATATAACAACTGATGTTACTACTTCTATATCAAAAACTGATACTAGCATTATATTGGTATTACTACTACACCTACTACTACTATTACTATAAATACTACTGTTACAAATTGTTTTCAGCATTCAAACGCATTTTCTGAAGGAAATGCATTGTATAGTTATAATATAATACTTTGTACCTGGGTGAAAAGAAGAATTATAACATTGATTTGCATAATCGGAAATAAGATGGTCAAAATGCACCGATGAGAGTCAATAACAAGCAACACACGCATTGATACAAAGTGAAAGCAGCACAGCAGCAGCACTGACCGCACGAAGGCGCCTCGCTTTATTAACTGCGACTGAGCAGTCGCGTCGCCGGCTGATGACGTCGCACAGAGAGGAGGTTCGGGTTTGCCACGTCGGTCTCTGTGCAACGCGTTTTGTACTGTTGCTCCCGAGGACCGCGGCTAACTTTTACAGCCGTTTAGTGCGCGTTTAACCCGGAGAGGAAGCCGCCGCTCAGCATCGCCGTTGCCGGCGTAACTCGTCGCCTCGCCCGCGCAGCCGGGAACATTGACGCTGGGACGCGGGGGGAGAAAATGCTCGGCGCCGTCTGGACTCGTCCGCCTGGAAGCCACACGACTGACTGATGCATCCTCGTTCACTTCACCCCGCAGTGTGTTGTGTGAGTAACGACGGCTTCACGGAGCTTACGACGACCACAAAGGGGGAAGGGGGGAGAAACGCACTATGTGGCTTTAAATGTGCAGGCTAGCCGCTAGCCGCGGGCTAACGCGCTCACGTCTGGACGTCGCTGTTAAAAGTTTCGGCCGTGAGCACCGCCGAGGCGGCGGCGGCGCGTGTCCGCAGGTCTCCTGCTCGCTGCAGCCACAACGTGGCCTCGTTTTAAACGAGATGTTCTCCCGCTCCTCGTCACCTTTTCAACCGCGGCAGGGGGGGGGGGGGTATTGAGATAATCTGGCAGTTCTTGTTCTAGTGGAAGTAATACATGAAATGACTCCTGCAAGTACACGTCCTGCATGCAAACCCGTACCTGCAGATCGACACGAATGCTGCAGATGTTTTCAGGTCATCTAGACTGAATTCTGATTGGTTGAGTTCGATGATCTCGTGATAAAAGGCCTGTTTGCAGCTTTGTGAACATGCGTTTCACAGCTGATTCCAGAGGCTGTTGGTATCATTGGTCCATCGTAAGAAGTGGGATCACTTCACAGGTACAATATTTGTTGGAGTGGAAGGTAAAATAAAAAAAAACTCCCCTTTTCTTTTACAACCCATTGCGTTTCCGGAATGAAGAAAAATTTTTGGTTCCCATTCCCCCCTTTTTTAAAAGGCCCCAAAAGGTTTTTAAGGAAAAATAAAAAATTGTTTTGCTTTTCCAAAAAATTGCCCCATCAAAAAATGGAATCCCCCCCCCCCCCCCCCCCCCCCCCCTTGTTAATTTCTCTACTTCGTAGTTCCTGTTTTCACTTTTGACCCCAGCTTGCGATGACTTTTTGTGACTTAACGGCTGCTTCCTGTTGAAGATTCATCTTTTATATCGGAGCTACCATCGTGTTTTTAAATAAGTATAAAGGAAATGTTGACTTACGGACGCTGGATGCGATCTGGCTGTGTTTTGGTCTTCGGAGGCTTTCGCTGACCAACCTCGCAACTGTATTTGTATCTAAGCGTTTTCAAACCTGATTGTCAACAGTGCAGCGCGTTGGACGGGTCATCACGCCAGTGACGGACTGAAGCCTGCAGCCGCGGGGCTGCAGACAATCCATTGACTGAGGCCTCATTAGAGGTTGTGGGGATAATACGCTATACTGTGTGGCTGTGCTGCTGGCAGGGTAGTCAACTGCAGGTCACCAGGATCCAATTTCCTCCCAGTGTTTGGTCAGCCTTGGACAGATGACCGAGCTCTGTAACGAGGTTGAATTAGCATCTCAACAATAGTTATCGTCAATTTTCAAATTCAACTGGATTGTTATAAATGATGAATAATCAATTAGCAAATAAATGATCTTCTCATTTAAATTACAATACCGGCTGGATATAACAAACAAATAAAGTGCAATTTACAATTGAGGGTTTTTTTAACCGTTTATCTTAAAATGAATTCATTTCATTCACTTCAATTTAGAAAAATATTTATTTTCAATTTAAATTGCCCTGCAGCTTTAACTTTAGTTCATTCATGTGTGAAGGGGTTTCCCCCCCAAAATCCACAATTCTATCGTGATTATAATATTTGCTCAAAAGATCAATCTGCATGTCATGGCTTTATATGTAGTTATTAAAACCTGCTTGTTTTGTGTCTCTTTCCCTTTCTGTTTACGTCATCGGTATACCATTTTGATCATAAAATTTATATTATTTTCGTATAGATTTTTTCCTTTTTAACACCTAAACAGCCCACTGTAATTAACTAAAACAACAGAGCAGCAGTGTATTGACAAAACTTATGTACTCTTTGTTTTTGGGACAAGGAACTCTCAAAAACAAAGCTGGGGAAGAAGTAATAAATAGTTCATACACTTCTACATGCTTTGAGAATTAAAACTCTCTTCAGAGTAATACAAAGTGCGAGCTGAACGTAACCAGAAAGGTGGAAGAGCCAAAAGACAAAAAGCATCGTCCCTGCCGGCCTAACTAGCAAACCTGAAATCGAGACGCCCCATTACGGCTGCGCAAATAAGGTGAGCTAACTGAAACATGTGACATGTTTGGGCTGGCGGCTCCAAAAGTGGACAAAGGAGTGTTACAAGTGTGTTATCCAAAACTCACCAAAACATTGCATGCAGAGGTCCACCTTCTCTTCCCCTCGTGCCAGCTTTCTCTCCCTCACACACACACACACTCTCTAAAGATGGTGCTTCACAGGAGAGCTCCTTCACAGGAGGCAGTGGAAATATTCTGTGTAAAGTGTCTGCTGATGTAGCTTAAAGGCCTTAAGAGATAGTTGGCTATTGTGGACCCCCCCCCCCCCCGCCTCTCCGTCCCCCTCGAGCACACCTGGGCTACGTCCACACGAATCAGAATACATTTCAGAGTGGAACATTTGTCTTTAGTTCAGCATCCTCTGCATGAAGACGTCCATCCTAGCGAGTATCCCATAACTCTTCCCGTAACTCGGGCATGAGGATGCTTGGGTACAGGAAATATGACGGCGTATTATAGTTTAATGATCCGAGTGTGTGCTTGAAAGGGGGTGGGAACTTTCCATGGGAAGTTACTATCCCCCAGCGTTGCCACATGATGAATTTTTATTTTTTTACCATAGTTTATTTTTGGGAAAGTATATAACAGGGAACTTGAATGTAGTTGAGAACAAGACTCTGCACGCCTCGCTCCGCCGGACCCCGGAGGCAGCTGGGTGGGAACATAAAACCTTGTGTGGTTTCTTACCGACGTTGACGTTAGCGAGCATATTGTTCTGTGTTCCAGAGAAAACATACAAGCTTTTATGAATCACATTTACGTTTCCTGTTGCCTTGTTGTTCTGTCCCCTCGCTCCTATCTGCTGGAGGCGGATGTCCCCGTCATGCTGGAGCACATGTACGCTTTTATTTGTTAGTGAACAATAAATAGTTTTGCAGACGAAAATAATTTCTTTCGCGGGCCTTTCAGAACCTTCTGTCGATGACGTTTTTGGGAAGTGAAACCTCAAAGGAAAAGCCAAGTGTTTTCTCAAGAGTCCTTTCACATGCCATCATTTGCCAACGGTCACACCGTTAACTGCACCTTCAGAAGCTCTTCTGTAGAAACCGATTCCATGGCAGGAGATGTAGTTTGATGGAGCTCTGCTATCATTCAACTGAGGATTTAATATTCTCCACGTGCATTTTGAGTGTGAAACCTCTCCGGGTGAAATGCAAAACCGTTTTAACACCACACGCCTTCTAAATGACCAGACTTCTCACCACAAACGTTCAAGAAAAACTTGTTTGGTGTTATTCTTAAAGTCTTTGATGGCGAAACGGAAGGGGCTCTACCTAATTCCCTCAAAGCATTGACAACCTTTCTGCTGAAACGCAAATACATCCGCTCATAGGTAACACAACAGCAACATTAAATGTCCCCTCTCAGGCCGCCGTGCACTGAACTGATGGCAGAGCGGCGCTGCGTGTGCTCGGCGTTTCCTGGGGAAAGCCCTAGCAGCTCTGAGCGCTGAAATTAACCACGCTGACACAGTTTGACGCAACTTCTGGTCCGAGCTGAGCCAAGCTGGCAGATGGTTCAATATTGACATCTTTAGGTGGCTGAGTAAACATAAATGTGTGTGTGTGTGTGTGTGTGTGTGTGTGTGTGTGGTTTCCAGGAAGGCCTGATTGCCCCAGAGATAATAGTTTCTGGAGCACTTTATGACATTGATGTAATGATGCCACTTAAAAACTAAACTAAACTTTTTCGTTCTTAAAGCTATTCAGACATTATAATTGGTATGTGAAAACCTAATAAAATACACTAAATACCAAATAAGTCTAATGAAACCCCACAACTAAAAGTAAAGGTAATCTCTTAACAGCTTTGTTCAATTCCCAAATCTTACGCTGGCGAAAACCCAGCTTGTGACATTCTTGTGATACGAACACAATATCGAGGTCAGGACAATAAGTTGACGTTTGTCTGTTGTTGTAGGGTGGATTTTGTTGCTAAATACACTTGATGGAGAAACCAGCAAAAAAGAAACGTTGTCTCTCCCAATAATAATTGAAGTAATCTTTTATATATTACTATTTTCCGTTTGTTGAGTAAATCCCTCGGGGCAGCCTGGTACTTTAATCGGACTCCAGGGTGGAGTCAACGTTGATCAGGCCTCAGGTTTGTGGGTTTGTGGGTTTTTATTTTGCTTTTCCTGTTCTGACGCGGCCTTGTCTTTGCTTTTTCCCCTCGCAGTGGCCCGGTCGTACATGGTGGCACGTTAAGGAGAAGGGGAGGAGTCCCGGCAGCAGTTGGTCGCCCGGCGGCATCCGTGGTTGCCACGGTAACTGGCGAACATGCCAGGAGGTCGCAGGGGCCCCAGCAGACAGCAGCTAAGTCGCTCTGCTCTGCCGTCGCTGCAGACGCTGGTCGGAGGCAACGTGGGCAATGGAACCGGCCTCAGGAGCAGGTGAGCGGCCAAACCAGTCAAACCGCTGCATCCTCGCGGGTTTGAGCCCTGTGGCTGGAAATAATCTTCACTTTCTTTGTAAATCCATTTGAAGCCCTTCATCCAAATTCAAATGTCCTCGCGGAAGGTTTCAATGCTATTTGTCGCTGAACAAATAGAAAGCATTTTGTTAATACGCGAGCCTCTTTTATGTGAAGATTAGCTTGTGAAAGCTTCAACTACAAATGTTCTACGTTGATGATTTAACCGTTATAAGTATGATTAGTGATACCTTCTGTATATTAATTCTAGTTGCAGGTCTATTTCTAACACCTTTTCTGATAAACCACTAATTAAAAACAAATACTTTGCAGCAGTTGGATACAAGTGCAACTCAGATAAAACTTTTAGCATTATTTAAGCGGCGCAAAGATGCATTTGTGCAAATATATAAGTACAATTTAAGTGCTACAATTTGTTAGTCTTTAGTCGAGGTAGAGTCTGAAGAGGTGTGTCTTTAGTTTGCGGCGGAAGGTGTGAAGGCTCTCTGTGGTCCTGGTGTCTTCAGAGGGTCGTGATCTCGTCGAGTGTTTTGCTCTCAGTGATTGAGGGACGAGCAGTTTTGCAGATTCAAGTCTTTCCAATATCAGTGGAATGCAAAACAGGCCTGAGCTGATACCTTTGCGTGGTTTTTGTCAATTGGACACATGAAACGACAAAAACAACAACGTCTCCCAGTTAAGAAGCTGGATAGTATTAATCTATGAATTGTCCATAAAACTAGTTCCCACAACGACGGCTCAAATCCTCTTAAAGCTGAGCTGATTTTTTGTTATGTGTCGGACAAAAAGAGAGCGAGACTTCCTGATGCCTGTAGGTTCTTCTTACGCTCACGATTCGTAGCACGTACGGCGGTCGTGACGGCTCCCAAGCATCGCCCGCCTTGTCCGTTTGTATTCATGTGCGCGTGTCCTCTCTCAGGAGCAGTAACGCGGTGGGTCTGTCCGCGCCCCCCCTCTCGGCCCTCATCACTCCGGAGCCGGTCCGGCACTCGAGGATCCCCAAGCTCCCGTTGGACAGCGGCCTGCTGTTTGAGTTCCTGCTCTTCCTGTATTTGCTCGTGGCCTTGTTTGTCCAGTACATGAACATCTACAGGACGGTGTGGTGGTACCCGTACAGCCACCCCGCCGCCTCCACCTCGCTGGTAAGAACACACGACATCGGCCTTGATGTGGCAGGCGCCTTTAACAAAGGAAAAACCCCAAACGTGAAACTCTTCCTTAACGTTAACAAAAACGTATTTTTTTTTATTTAGAAAATGTGAAATCTGCAGTAGAGACACTGCAGAACTCACCAAGAAGTGTTGTGTTCTTTCTTTTTGTAATCTGAAGCCATTTTTGTGTGTGAAATCTGCTGTGGTTGAGACCCTTGGTTACTAAAAACTGATAACAAAGTATCTTTAAAAGTAAGAACCAACCGTGGTGTATTTTATGGTGCAGTTTCAGGTATAACTTATGTACAATTTATAAAATGCCCCATGGCTATATAACGGCAGCTTCTTTCTCCTCTCTATTTGAGCAGAACTTTCATCTGATGGACTACCACCTGGCTACCTTCATCACGGTCATGTTGGCCAGGAGGCTCGTTTGGACCATCGTTTCAGAGGTAAGCGCGTCTGCACACACGCAGTCAGCGGGTCCATTTTAGGGCACATTCGCCCCACTGAGGTCACCGTGGCCGCTGTGACTGACTCTTGTCTCGCCCAGGTGTCTCAGAGCGGCGGCGGCGGGTCGCTGCTCCGCTACGTGGTTCTGATCGCTGCTCGGCTCAGCCTGCTGACCATGTGCGGCTGGGTTCTCTGCTGGACGCTGGTCAACCTCTGCAAGAACCACTCCGTGCTCAACCTCCTCTTCCTGGGATACCCGTGAGTGTTTGTGCACCCCGCCTGCCCACCTCATCCTGCCGTCATTTGAATCTAAAGCCGCTGCCCTGTCCTCTTGTCCTCCTTCGGCTCGCCGCCCTCCTTCTGTGCCAGATTTGGTGTGTACGTCCCGCTGTGCTGCTTCCACCAGGAGGGCGGCAAAAGCCAAACGGCGGCGACCGACTGCGATTACCCCGCCGACCAGCAGCAGCAGCAGCAGCAGCAGACCGACCTGGCTGAGAGCCCGTTCTTTCGGCCGCGTGACTTCCTCTTCCTGCTGCGAGAGAACCTCAGGGAGCAGTTTTCCGGCACGCCGCACATGCCGACGCACACCTGCCCGCCGCACCCCCACGCGCCGGAGTTGATTCGAGCAGAGGTGGAGGAGCTGAAGAGCGACTTCAACCGGCGGATAAAGGAGGTGCTGTTCAACTCGTTGTTCAGCGCCTACTACGTGGCCTTCCTGCCCCTCTGCTTCGTTAAGGTCGGTACCCGTTTACCCGGTGGAGCGTCGATGCTTTCCGGTGCAGAGTTCGTCACACTGTTGCCCCTCATGCTGCCTGTTGCCCTCGTTCATGTCGCGGTGCGTTCGTTTACGCCAACAGAGCACCCAGTACTATGACATGCGCTGGTCATGTGAGCATCTGATCATGGTGTGGATCAATGCGTTCGTCATGCTGATGAGTCAGCTGCTGCCCCCGAGCTACTGCGACCTGCTCCATCGCTCGGCTGCTCATCTGGGCCGCTGGCAGAAGCTGGAGCACGGCTCGTACAGCAACGCACCTCAGCATGTGTGAGTGGTGCTCTGTGCACACACTTCTACAGTCACGCACACGCAGGTTACACAATCACTAGTGCCAATGGTTTGCTGATGATTTGCGTTGTGGTGATGATTTGTGTTGTGGTGATGATTTGTGTTGCAGGTGGTCAGAAAGTACCGTCTGGCCTCAGGGGGTGCTGGTACGACACAGCCGATCTCTGTATAAGGCCATCGGGCCGTATAACGTCGCTCTGCCCTCTGATGTTTCCCACGCAAGGTTTTATGTGAGTAAATGTTTTGTGACCTGTGGTCTGTTGACAAATGGAAGCTAAGTTTGTGTCCTCTGAGGCTCTGCCATTGCCGACGTGGCGCAACGCCTGAAAAATGTGACTACACGTTGTGCACCAACGGCGCCGCATGTGGTTGGTCAACTTTGGGTTTTTTTATGGGGGGTAATTGAGGCCGCCAGCTGACAAGTAGAAAGAAAGGTGAAGAGGGAATCAGGAAAACCTAACCACTTAAACGTAGAAGGTGAAAAATCAAAATCGCCCGCCGGACAAAGGTTTGTAAAGTACAGGCTCTGTGACTGGACACCTCGGCTATGATTCCTGCACTCTATTACATTGCAGAAGTGCTCATTTTATTGTGTCCATCCCTGCATGTTTAAATGTCCATCTTTGGCCTTCTCGCTGGGCTTGTCTGATCCTGTCCCGTCTGTTGGTCTTCCAGTTCCTGTTCCACAAGCCATTGCGGATCCTGAACCTGCTGATCTGGATCGAGTCCAGCGTGGTTTTGTACCAGTTGTACTCTCTGCTGCGATCCGAGCGCTGGAACCACACTTTGTCTCTGGGCCTCATTCTCTTCTGCAACTACTATGTCCTTTTTAAACTGCTCCGAGACCGCATAGTGCTGGGCAAAGCCTACTCCTACCCTCTGGCCTCCGGCAGTCTGGGGCTCAAGTCGCAGTAAAGGCTCTGCACGGCGAGACCTCTACCCCGAACTCTGGACGCGGATGGGAGACGGACGGCGGTCTGCTGAAGGGTCGACTAGTGCTGCCGCCCGGAGGCCAAGGGACGGACCGTGAACTCGCGACCGTGTTTTGATACGGTTCTATTTTTATTGCAATGTTTATACATACCTATTTAAAGAATATTTTTATTTTGTATACTGTTTTCGAGTTACGCCGGGCATTATCACAATGACGACATGGGCAAGTTGTTGCTAGGCGACAGGAAAGTCAGGGAATGCGAGGAGGTGACTCTCACCAAAGATATTTTAGGTGCAGGTGGCCAATCACAGCAAGGACGTGGCCTCTGAGAGCCAGCTTGGGTTCAGTGGAGATGTGCATGAGATCCACCGCGAGGCTCCTCTAGAACCAACTGGTGGCAGGCTCCCGCATCTTATGCACGTTTTCATTGGGGACTTTCAAAGCAGAAGTTAGACATTTTGGGGAAATAAGCTTATTGCTATACGAAGCCACAGCAGCGGAGGGTCAGCTTAACGTCTGCACAAAGATTATGAACGACGACAGCGCTGTGTTTGTCAAATAGTAAAGCATCTGCCTGCCAGCCACACTAAAACGCAAAACAACAAGTTGACTCTACTCGTTGATTTTTGTTTTATTTTAGTGGTTGCGTTGTTCTCCACCGGTCACTTTTGTTGCCGTGCTTCTGCTCAGTAACTGTTGGCTATCCGGAGAGCAGCAGCAGGTTGTATAAACGTACACCAGGGTCTCTGCTGAGAGAGGACTGAGCTACTAGTGGCATCGAGCGGGCTGCAGATGTAACATGGTGATAATTAAGGTCCACTTGGTGATGTCGGACACCACTTTGACTTGCGTCTGCCTTCAAAAGATGATTTATGTTCTTAAAAGACATCCCATCATTTTATTTCTTTTGTTTTGTTTTTTTTAAGTATTCTGATGCTGTCATTTTTTTTTTTTTTATATTTTGATGCTTTAATGCTTAAACCGTACTGGTATCATGAACGGGCCACACGACATGAGGCCCGTCTCGTTGTGGATTGGGTGTAGATTACAGAACCCATGTGCAGGGTAGCGACAGTTGTTGGTACGTAACCCAAACCTTCTCCTGCTACGATGTCATCGCTCCCTGTTGACAGCAGAGGATGTTTTAATATTCAGCCTTTCCGTCGGTGATGAATACAGACTCCAGGGCTGGAGGGTAACGACTGGATGCGTCTCTTCATTACCAGTGTATGTATTCTCGGTTGCCAGGATGGTGTTACAAATGAGTTGCCTTGTATGTTGTTGCCTTTCTGTTAACTCACACCTGGCTAAAGCCATTTGAATCCCCTTTTATGGGCCTCCTCGCCTCTTACCGGCTCCGGCCTGCAGGGGGGGGGGTTACTTGGGGCTGTATTGAAGATTAGAGTATCACATTGCAATCAATAAAAGAAGGGAAAAAAACGATATTTCCTTTGCAGTTGTGAATTGGCTGCTTTGATGATGAGGGGGAGGAAACGGTTCTTGAGATGTCAATGTGTGCACATCTGGATCGCTCTGCTCTGAAGTGTGAGGACTCTTGATTAGACATCAGTTTCATAAATATGCCCATTATTTTGCTTTGTCTGCAAACTCTGCCCCTTAAATGAGCTCTGGTACTTCTCTCTCATTTCCACATGAATGTAGCAAATTGTTTAACTGAATGGCATGTGTTGTTGTTGTTTTTTTTTGTTAAGTTGATCGCTTAGGGGTCGTCACCATCACCGGTTTTTATTTTATTACTCTTTGTGGAGGTACTTCTATGTCACCTTGAATTCACCATTATCTCAATGACACCGAAAGATGATATTTTGACGTTCACTTACAACCCTGCTTTAATATCAGGTCTCACTTGATTGTTCAGACACATTCGACCTGCCTTCTCTGTTGGGGTGAAACCCAAATGATCACAGCCGACGAACAGGACGGAGATGTGAAAAGCTTTGAGGTTCATATTTTGAGCACTTTGCCGCGGTGGTCTACATGATCTTCCCCTCTCGCGTACGGGTGTTAATTAAAACTCATTCCGACGATGTCGGTCTGTGTCGTCTTCTAATTGGGTCACAAACTGTCTTATTGCATATGTGCCATATCCCAGGATGCATCTTCAGACTTATGGTTTGACCTGTTGAACGTGTCACTGCTGGAGAAGTCTTTGGAGCTGGTCCTCATATTTCAGCTTTTTACACGGTTCAGTTTGCCCCCAGCCTTTATAAACATACCTTTTGTCATCCAGAATAAAACAAATGGAGTTTAAGCATATATTGTTTGTGTGGAATATGTTGTCTGAGCAGACGATAAGAATTCTGACCAGTTGCTTAATTCTATGTATATGTATATTTCATTATACATCAATTCAGTTTGTTTTTTTGTAAAAAGAGCTTGGGAAGACCTGTTATGCAAAATACTAGATACATGTAACGTCTTTTCTTTTCCACCAGATGGCGCTAAGCATTAAAGTACAACACAACAAAATGTGCGTCACAACAAGTAACCTGCTGTCATTTAATATCATTCTGAGTCAGGAGATACATGATAATTTGGAGAGAAACTTGTTAGCACCTTTGGTAGCCGACTTGTACATTCATACACACAAACAATCATTTCAGTAGAAAAAGGTCAATAGTTTCAACAGTTTGAAATCTTTAGTATTAGCACAAGGAAAAAGCTTGAATATATATAGTCTTGTTCAGTCCATGTTTTTATGTTTATAGAAATGCGTCTCGTGTTTTTATTTGCACTATTTATTGTATGACTACATGTTGCTTATATTGCCATGTGGGAAGGGAAGGAGGGGGGGATCTAAACTACAGGAATGAGTTCATATCGTTCGGTCAGTGCTGCACACCATGGCGGGCAAACTCGTGGGTTCTCGCGCCCCCAGATACTTCGGAATGGAGCCTGAGGAAGCAGCGGGCCCCGGGGTTTCGACCCCTCACCCCTCCCGGCAGTCCACAAAGTTTCCTTTTATCCAGTAGCAGATCTGCGCGTACTTCAAAGGCGTGATTCTCACAGCCACGTTAAATTCCTGAGACGCCCCTTGTCGCTCCACCCACTGATGCCCGGAAAACACCCCGATCACCTTCCGCTCCCAGCGCTGGCGCTGGCCGTCCCACATGCGGGCGTAGATCCCTGACCCGCTGGCCCCGGGCTGAGCGTCACAGTGCTGGTACAGCAGGTCCGACGTCTCCTCGCCGGCCCGGCAGAAGCGGTACACCAGCTTGCCTGGGCGGTCGTTGTCGAATCCTGAGAAGTGGACCCGTCGCCCGGGCAGCCTCTGAGCCGGGGGGCTGACTCCCAGCCGCATGTGGCGCCGTTTGTGGCTTTTCTTGAGCTCCAGCAAAGCGTAGTCATAATCCATCCCAATGTCATTGGCATTCCCCTTAATCCATCCTTTAGGCACATGGGTGCGCTTGGCTCTGATCCACTGGAATTTCATCTCGTCGTCGGTTGGCGGGCCAAAAGGACCGGGGCCGCCGTCTACGCGGTTGGTGTAGTTGGTGAGCCCGTAAAAGGAGGAAGGCCGTGTGCCCCGTTGCTTGGGTTTCAGAAACCCAACCCGGAGCCTCTGGGCGCCTTTCACGTAGTTTTTACCATCGTGAACACAATGTGCAGCTGTGAGAACATGCCGGTCCCCCACCAACGTACCAGAACACCCAGTGGAAAGCTTGACAGCCACCGAAAACGGGTATTTCAACAGGAAGTCCTGACCAGCGATGCTGAAGCGCCCATCGTGGCCGAAGATCTGGCGCTTCCGCCTGGCGCGCGAGCGCTCGGCCTTCTCAGGCGAGGCTGCGGAGTAGGCCGCGCTGGTGTCGGGAGAGGGGTCGTAGCCGTAGATCCCAATGGCGGTCTCGGTGAGTTGACCGTCAGAGTGGAGCGTCTCGTAGGCCAGCAGACGCCGCAGGTCCCAGTAGCTCGGCCGAGGGGCCGCCTTGTGGCATTCTGGGTCACAGGGGGAGTTGACATCCAAGCGGGCCGGAGATAGGAAGTGAGGGACCGATCGGGCCTCAGTCTGCTGTGCGAGGACCACAGGGACTCGCTGGAGAACCCACTGGGGCCGGGAGGAGGAGGAGGAGAAAACGGGGGCCACAAGAAGAAGACACAGGAGGGGGGTGAACCTGTGGACGGACAAGAGGACTGATCAGGTGAAGCTGTGCACTAAATACCCCTTTCACCGAGGGACTCAAAATACGCAGAAGATGATGACGTCTGGGCCCATTTGACTGTTTGCATTAGAAACCTTCATTCCTTAACCCAGCATCATCGATGCATAACTGCAACCATGGGAGTTGAGGAGCTTTTTTTTTTTTTTTTTTTGCCCTGGAATTTGGCAGCTATAGAATTCAGCTGTTTTTATTTAACGCTGCAAAAATGACTTCCAGGGCAAAGATCGTGCCTTAGGATACGATGGAACATTCTTAAAGTGGCCTGGGGATTGGCCCAAAGCCTCCAAGAGCGGCTGAATGACATTTAGTTTAAGTGAAAATAGACTTTACGTAAATGGGTCAGAGAGCGACTGTGGGTGAGCACGGGCGCCCTCCAATCAGAGGGTTGGCGGTTCGATCCCAGGCCTGGCTAACCCGCATGTCGATGTGTCCTTGGGCAAGACACAACCCCAACATTGCTCCTGTGAATGTTAGTTACCGATGGGCAGGACTGTGTGTGAAAGGGTGAATGATGTCATGTAGTGTTAAAGCGCTTTGAGTGGTCAGAAGACTAGAAAAGCGCTGTACAAGTACAGTGCATTTAGGTGATCTCTGACTTAGTTTGTGGGATATGAGGCGACAATAGACAGCCTCGTGGTGGTATATAATAATAATGGTTAACCGTAATATAAATCATGCATGGCATAAGACACTTGCGGCACCCTGCGTTGCAACAATGGTGAAAGTTGAGTATGATGTTGTGATACAAGTTCACGGTGCACTGAGCGACTTACCGGGGGAGGGCGGCCCGGGAGCGCATCGTTTGACTTCTGCAGGTGAGCCGGTGGTTGAACACTGGAACCACAGACCCGGGACCGGCAGAGCCCGCGAGGGGAGATCAACGGTAGAAGAAGAAAAAAAGAAGAGACGTCTCGACGCTTGTTTCAGCAGCTGACCACTTTATTTGATCCGCGTGTCAGAGTTTTCCAGAAGCAGCAGCCGGGTGCGCGGCGGAGGAGCTGGACCATCGTGCGCGGCGGCAGGAGGCGTTCTGCGGTCCGTCCGTCCGCGCGCGCCGTGTCTCACATCTGCCGGCGCGGATGTGCAGCGTGACGATGTCCGACCACGACGTGGTCACGTGGCAAACCCCATCACTGCTGCCGGGTACCAAGTTAAAGATTAAAGAATTGTATTGCCTTACAGAGTCTGGCACTTTGTGACCTACTTCTGGCTTTGCATTAAGCGTTTGACCGGGGCTGCATCCAAAAATGATCATGTCAAAAAAGATTTAGTCCGATTGATTTCTCTCAAAAATAATGAAACTTTGCAAATAGATCCTGTGTTAATTCTGCAGAGAGGTTATAAGCCATTTATTAGAAATGCATTAGACTTATTGGTTGCAAGGTTGTCAGATTTCTTGGTGTATATCCTCTGATTGGTACTTATATATGGTATTTATAAAGGTTTGTTACCTAGTAATAACTTGTCTTTACTGCAGCCTTTTAAATTGTTGAAATGAATGGATTTAGTTTCAGGCGATCAGATAAGTTAAACGTTGCGTTTGAGGATACTTGTGATGAATTAATGATTATAAAAGTCTTTTTTTGCAACCTGGCCAACCTAAACATGCCCCTTTTTTAAAACAAATTTTTATTAATTGTTACATTAAGCTTTGTTGTAATGACAATAAACATCAAACTCTCTTCTAAAAACTGTGTAGCTACATGCTACATTAATTTTGCTTTCATGCTTTTATTACTTTAGTTTAAAGTGTGGGAATAAGACAAACCGAGGGGCTGCTCAGAGTTTACAGCGCCTTGTGCTTTGTTATTGACAGCTGGGCGGAGGCGAGTGCATTTCCACATCTGAGGCTTGTGGTTTGTGTTGCAGAGACAAATTGAGACGTCGTCCATACTGTGACCTGCTGGTCACAGAACGCTAACCGCATGCATTCGTTGGATCAGATTCCCTCCTTCTACAGCATCCACAGATGCCTTCAAACTCCTTTATTAAACAATTATGTTGCATGCGCACATCAATGCTCTGTCTAAACAAACTCACACTGTTGATTCACCCTCACGCCTCACGGCATTGATCAGAAAAGGCCCTTCACTTGTGAGATTTCACAAACAAAATCCTCACTCATTTCCTGCCACTCGACTGATTATTCCCACTGAAATATGACATTAACACTCCAGGGCAACCTCGCTGCTATTGGAACTGGAATTAGTTCAGTGAGCGGCTCTGACGCCAACGTTTTGGCCACTTTGCCCACCCACGCTGGAATTGTGCAAGTAGTTGGTATAATGTGAAATGTAATGACTTCATTTGGCTCGACTGCCACCAGAAAGACAGAGAGAGAGAGAGAACAAGATGGGCGGGGGTGTCCAGTGGGGACTCGTGCATGGCTGAACACTTGGTCAACCTCCACCAATCTCCCTTTGGCTAATGGGATGTTTTCATATGCAGACTTTTGTCCTTCTGAAGCATGTGCAGAATTTATGTTTCAGCTCTTTACTGAAATATATAATATTCTTGGAAAAACGTCTATTTGCTTTCAGATGGAAATAAATGAGTAGAGCAAAATATATATATCTGCATGTTGAATTTGTATAGTTGGTGCCACTTAAATAAAACCACCCAGCAGCATGTTTAAAGAGCTCGCTGAACAACAATATTTCAAGACGTTGCCTTTTGTCGTGACTGAAGTCGCCAGGCTGACTGCTACGGATCTTTGGCTGATTATTTACTGTTCAGATGTGTTCTTATCTCACTGTCCACAATAAAAGCGAAGACAAAGTGGAACTGTTTCTTCAAAGTGATTCGCATCCTGTTCAAGGTCTCCTGCAAATGATTAAGCGTAGCACCTTTGCCAGCGCACTGGGTGGACCTGCTGGCTTCTCACGCGCTGCACCCCACCCGTCCCACAACACCGTTACAATCACACACACACACACACAACCACACACACCTCGCTCTCTGCCAGCGCCTCATCCGCTCAGTCCCGATATCCCCAAAGCTAGAAGCTCGAATGAATAAGCAACAATAAATGTCCCTGTGCATGATAACAAGTCAACAAACGCCTGCGTGCTAATAAGAGAGACGTCTCTGTTTTGTTTGGAGTTGTTATGAAAGGGTCTGTCTGTTTTGCTGTGTTCGCTGTTGTCAAGGAGACTCACATTCCCTGGAGTGCTGTTCATGTTAATGTCTCTTGATTCTTCCCACTCTCCTCTCGCTTCTGACACAATCAAGCAAGTGTGGACGGCCTCACGTGTTTGAGTCCCCTCCCTTTATGTCCCTCAGTCCGTCCGTCTCCCTGTCTCTGTTCTTTCTCTGTAATTTCCCCGTCTCTGTGCCTCTCACTTGTTCGGATCGTCTCTCCGATCCTGGACCTCTTCTCGCGCTCGTCCTTAGAGGCCATGAAACAGCTGTTTGGCAAAACCAGATAACCACAGGCAAGTCTTTTACTGTGAAATTGTTGGGGGTTACTTAAGCCAAGTTTGCAGCTCAAGGCAAGAGGAAGGGAATGCATCTGTTCTCCAGCACATTCGATGTCTGACTGAATGCCTCATAAACACTGTCGCGCTTAGATACAGTTGAAGGAATCTCCAAGTTGAAACACTGAGGAGATGTATAAAGTTTACTGTCCGGACGTCTTCTCTTGGGGTCACTAACATCCATTTTTCAAGAAAAATAACAATGCACATGTGGGTTACATGAGAAACCCTGCCAGAATGGTCTGACTCATTCGATGTCATAAACGTGCTAAAACCTGGTTAGTAAAAGGTAAACATTTTTACTGTGATCGCTTTGTATTTGTTCTTGTTATTCAGTCTCAAACCGGTGATCATTAGAGCAGCGTAAAGACGGTTTTCTGTTCATTTTGAATGTGTATTATCCGACTGGACCACCTGGTGCCTTTCAGGAGAGCATATACTATGTTTGTTTTTGTGAAATCTAATTGTAATAATTTTCATTTACACATAGACTGTCGATGGGGAAAACTGTTTGCCCACTTTAACAGACATCTGACATCTGCATGAACTAAAATGAGCACATCTGTCGTGTGAAACGTGTAAATAAAACCCACTTTAGGCCCAGACGGGGTTATCCGAGGCTCGCCAAATGTGCTTTGTATTCAATCAATCAAACATCACAGCATTGGTCGCCGCAAACAAAGCTAGTGGAAATCTGCACATTGTAGTTCATTGTATTTTCCTGTTCAGAGTGTTGCACAGCGTTGCCTCAGAATAAAGGGAATCAGCTCGCAGGTCAGGCGTCAGGTGTTTGCACCTTGTCTAATCTGACGTAACCTTTGGGTGTAACGGGCGCAGCAGAGCACACGCAGTGACGTGTACGCCAACCGTACGTATGTTTCACTGACACGCTTCTCATATGGAGGAAGCAAATGATCACAGTGTGAAAGAGTTCATAATGCACTACGGTTTCTCTTTCTCTCTCACACACACACACACACACACACACACACACACACACACACACACACACACACACCCTTGTGATGACAGACTCTGCACAGTGAGGGAAAACCCCTCGTCTTGCCTTCATACTCTTCTTTGGAAAATGACTTGCATGCTTTTTGAAAGTAACAACACACTTATCACATTCCTCAGGGGTTGCGGTTCAGTGTTGCTAGTTGGTTTACATGTTGATGGAATTAGATTAAGTCATTATTTAAACCCTCCTTTCCTCTGAAGTCATTTTTCCGTCATTACTCAATTTAATCAAACCGCTTGGTCTTTCCTAATACAAAGTCCTGTGTTTTCTTGCCCTCCGCCAGGGGAATGCTGGCCATGACCATGGATGCCTCTCAAACAGACACATCATCTGACATCACATGTGCAGATGCTTTATCATTCTTTTGTAAATGCTTTTTCTACAAACCTTTTTCTTTGAAATGGCCAAACGCTGTTTGTTTATTGCATTTTTTGGGTTGTTTTACGTTTCATTGCTGATCTCTTCTACTGAAACCAGTTGTGAAACTGTACGTGATTTCAAGTAAATCCATTTGAATAGACGAGACGCCATCGTGTAGCGTTTCATAGGATCTGGTATCACAAGCGCTGACCTGAGCCACGCGGTGTAAAATCATGGTACTGACAGTCCGCCTGTCTTCCGTTGCTTCTTAATGTGTTTTTAAGGATTAATTCTGAGCTCTGCCAGCGGCGCTACCGCAGGTTGGCGCTTGGCAGCTCGCGATGCCGTACTGATGATGATTGAGGACTGAGCAGAGGGGTTTTCATCCAGTTGCCATGTGCCTTGATGCCAGCTAATCCTACATGGTTTCTTGATTTGATTTTCTTTGTTCTACACCGTTTTTTTAAATATTTGATTGGCAATTAACAGAATGTGTGCTATAACTATTGAACGAACGAATGTGGTCTGAGTCTATAAATGGGACACTGTAACGGAGAGGCAGCTGATTTTGGTGGTGAAGAATATGTCATTACTATGCTAATCCTGCTCATATTTATTAATCAATTTCTCTGCATTAAACTTTCTGCATTAAAATTCTGCGTCAATTGGAAATAGAGACTAAGACATTTTTAAAATGTTATATTGCCAAAAAAACAGAAAATATACAATTATGATCAGAGCTTATTTTTAAACTACATAGACCCTAGCTGTTTCCCCCTGCTCATAGCACTTATGCTAAGCTAGGCTAACCTCGCCCTGTCTGTTGCTGAATATCACCCCCCCGCCCCCCCCCCCCCCACCTGGTGTGTGAATTGCAGCTCCTTCCTTCCTGTTTCTGTCAAGCTGCAAGAGCTCTGCTTCGAGTAGACCACAGGAACACATACAACCTGCAACACCTCTCTATATATAGAATATCTGTCACTAGTTGATATTTCTGTATGTATCATTTTTAATTTCATTTCAGTTACTGTGGATTCTGTTCTTTTATTTCATTACTACTACTTAGAACTCTACTTTTTTACTATGTCTGTGTACTTTACCCCCTTTGCTGCTGTAATACTGTACATTACCACGCTGCGGGACTAATAAAGTATTATCATACCTTATCTTACTCACTTGACCCAAGGTGAGTCACTGAGAGCCTCCACCCATTCCTGAGAGCGCAG